ATAAATACTTTACAGCTATAAGCTTTTAAATATATAAAGCTTAGCTTTTAAATTAATATAATAACTTTATTATTTAAAGCTACTTATGTAAAGAAGATTTTATATAGTGTCTTCTAGTTGTTAGCATAGTTTAGCGTCTAATTATATAGGTATACGCTAGCTCTAGTAATGTATAGCTATATGTTCTATAGTAAGTTAGCATCTAGTTACATAGCCTATAACTTTTTCTTATTTACACCTTTTAAGCGTTTAGCTCCTTTGTTCTAGGCTTATGTATCTAGTGCTAAAGGCTTAACAGTTATTCTATGCAATGCTAGCTAGTATTTTACTTCTAGTTTTACTATTATAATCTTGTTATTAGCTTTAATAACTTTTATAGTAATGTTATAATAGTTCTTTAAAAAAAAAATAAAAATTATAAAAGCTTTAATAATTAATTTAGTAGGCCTATTATCTTTAAAGTAGAGGTTCTACTAGAGGCTAGAATACTTATTAGTAATTAGCATTTAACTCTACTTTTTTATAATGCTCTGTGCTTTATATGCATAGAAATTAATTAATAGTCTTTTACTAAGTCTACTATTACTAATTTATAGTGTACAGCTAATTTATTGTTGTATCTTAGCTCTGCTACATAAGTTACATTAAACTGTTGTAATTTCTTTAATTTACACCCCCTTAGCTTACTATATAAGGTGTTAAAGTGTAGCTAGTTTAGAGTGTTCTAGACACTTATGCTATAGCTCTACTAATGCCTTTTATAGACTATATTTAGTTCTTATGTTAATTATGTGTGTATAATATAAGCCCTTTTATAGTAGATAGTACTCTAACACCTATTAGCTATAAATCTTTATAAGATCTTTAATTATTATCTTATTTAGGGCCTTTAAAGCAGTTAGCTCTGCTTATATGTCCTACTAGATTTCTTTTTATTATAGTAGGTAAAATAAGACTAGGTTGCACAGCAGGTCTAGGCACAGTGCAGCGTTATAAAGTACAAGACTGTATGCTTAACTATGTGTTCTATACTTACTTTTTAAGCTTAGTATAATTAATCTATAGCTTTAAATTTATATGCAAGAGTTTCTAGACTAAATAAAGTTTTTTAGTGTTAGTAAATAATAGTTGTAGATCTAATTAAAATTATTTATAATATAGCATATTAAGCTTAAGTTAAGAATAAATAATTCTTTTAGTAAATATCTATTCTAGTTTAAATTAACTATAGCTAGCAATGTAGCTGCCTTAACTCTTAATACTTCTTAGCCTTTAAGTTAGTCTTCTTGTATCTTTAGTGTAAGTATATGTAAACTTTTTAAAATTAGTATTCTTAAATTATGTCTACGCTGCTCTTTTAGTAGGCCTTAAAATTTTAAGTTATACTTGCGCTTTAATGCTATAAGCTCTTTAACTCTCTTATTTAGCATCTACTAGTCTAGTGCTCTGTCTAGATAGACATAGAAGCAGTCCTTTAGTGCATAGATGTGTCTGCATGTAGGACATTTAGTGCCTCCTATTTTAGCAGGTTTCTAGCTTAAAAATAACTTCCTATTATCTTCTTAATAATGTTAATATTAAGGTTTACTTTATTTTCTTAACATTGCAACTTCTGCACTACAAGCGTCCTTATTTATGCCCTAAGTAGTCTTTCTACTTTTAGTAAAGTATAATAAGTTATCTATTATAAAGGCAGCTTTATGCTTTTTTATATGTATTAGATAATTTAACATTATATGTTTTTAAAAGCACTTTATTATTTTTTTTTAATTTATGTTTAGTGTAAACTGTCTGCTTTTTTAAAAAGTTATAGACTAATAAGAGGCAACTTTATTTATAGCAGTTAGAAAGTCCTTTGCTACAGCATTAAACTATGTTGTTTCTAGAACATTTTGTGTCTCTACTTCTATAGCAGCGTAATTATACTCTGCTAGCTACAGGTTCTATATGCTTATGTTTTTTAGCAGCTTTAAAAATGCATTATATTAGTTACACATGTGTTCTTATTTAAATTAGTTGTTAACACTTACTATAGCTTTAAAGTTTGTAATCTACTATCTAAGTAGTTAATCTAGGGAACAGCATGTACGCTGCAGATGTAGGCTAACTGTTAACTAGATAAAGACAATAATCTATTAAAGGCTTAATTACTCTCTTTTATAATTATGTCTGTTACTCTTGTACTTGTTAGCCTTAATCTTGTAGTATTTAATAGCTTCTTTAAAGGCTCTAACACTGCTTGTTAATAGCTTGTTCAGGTGCGTAGGCGTTTTAACGTTAGAGGCTGGTGAAAACTCAGCTATTAGCGGCATCTCTGGAGCTCTTGGTTTGGAGATCATTTGGATGGTCAACTTAGGATCCACTTGCGGCCAGATGCCGTGCGCTACACATCTTGATTGCAGCTGCATTATCCAGGCTCTGTAGTCGGTGTGGTCTCGAAGGACGACTGTCGCGTCTCGAGGAGGCTGGGTGGCCATTTTGTATCAATGGAGGCACTGAGACTCTTAATTGTCAGATTAAAGCACTGTTTCTAGGCTTCCTGAGATGAATAATAGGTTTGGATATGATGTATGGGATAATTAATTGATTGTGTTAATTGTGTTTATTTATTAATCCTTTTTCTGCTCTACTCGTGTTGCTTGGCTTTTTGTTCTGCCGATCCGAGTCCCTCGCGCACTAGCCCTATGCGCGACCAGCTTGCAACATGCTGCAATTTGCTGCAAAATGCTGCAATTTGCAGCAACATACTGTTCGAGCTTATTGCTCGTACTATGTAGCAGCTTTCGTCAAACGTTCCTCCTGTCTTGACAGTAGGTGCGCATATCTGACAGTTGCTAGCAATTCCTGCCTTAATAAAATTTAATTAGCTGCAATACTTAGACAGGTATTACCTAGAAGTAATATGTTAAACTAAGTTACTAGCTAACTGCGGCAGATACTTGCCAGGCTAGCGCACCTTATAAAAGAAGGGTTTAAACATAGCTTGCTTACTTATTTAAACATCCTTATTTATCTATATAAAGACGTGAAAATTAGTTAGTAAACGTCTACTGTTTTTAATCTCTGTACTAACAAAGTGTATAGCTAGCCTAGAAAATTGTTATACCCGCGCATCTAACAGCGTTTTCTAGTATGTTAAAGCGCTAAGCTCTATTATCACAGAATTAATAAATAGATACGTTAAAGAGGATAGAGCTGTTAGCGTCAACAATTTACATTGTTAGCCTCCTAGCTCTAATGCTGTTAGCTTCCTCTCTAAGACTACTTCTGCTGTGTTAGTATTTAAATTAATTAAAGTACGTACATTAGAGATTAATTTATTGTACTATAGTCTAATATTCTCTAGCATCTGTTGTTGCAGCTTCCTTGGCGAAAGGATATGCTTATTAGGGTGGTATCTTTCGCCACTGTCGGAACGCGCATAGGTTACAAGTATCCGCCAAGCTAGATTGATTGCCCTAGATATTTACTATTTCGCAAATATTTTTTAAAACTAGATTGGCTCTTTTGGTAGCTGCCATAGTCGTGATGTCTCGCGCACGTTTGGATCGGATCTACTTGGTCGTGATCCTGAGTCAAGAAAATCATAGACGTGAAACCGTCTCTCGCTCCTTGTAATACATGTTCATATCTGACCTTAACCCTGATAGGCTAATATTATCGTTACAGTACCATCCATTAAGTGTCACTACTAAATTGATTTCGCACGTGAACGTTGACATGGGTATAGCTAATTTTAGTAACGTTTCCTGTTCCGTGCGTCTTACAAGACCAGTTTTGGAATTCTCACCACAGTCCCAGTTTTAGCCCCCTGCTTTGTCCAGTTCTAAATACTTTCTATTTTAACGTTTAACTATTCTCTGCATGTAAATTAGATCTATTCTCTGCTCTTTTATAGCTTCGCCTGCACATTTTCTTGCGCTCTTCCTAATAGTCATCTGTACCGCTATAGAAATTACGCAACTATATGCTATTGCTGTAGGTAGCATATTGCTTTTTTTAATGCTTATTAACTTCTGTCCTTAAATAGAAGCATTTCTAAGGGCTGTTTCCCTTCTGGCATCTAAACACCTTACCTACCTGCGGATAATTTACTGCTATTAATACTTTAGCCCCTAGAGTTAAGCTAATGTTATTATTTAGTTATTTTACATTACAGTAAACACGTTCTGCGTGGGCTTTAAAGTTCCTAATGTCTTAACAGCTAGATTGCAAGCCGCAAATCTCTTGTTAATTAATATAGTCCTAAATTTTGCTAGTTCTTACCTAAGCTTTCTTGCAGATATCTTTAGAGTTCCTTTAAGCAAATATTAACAAATTTATTGCTCTAGCAGGATTATGTTAGTTTTGCTCCTACTCTTTTACATTCTTACTATAATAGGAAGCTAAACCCCTTTTCCTTTACACGTAGTAGAAAATCTGTGGGGTCTTATTATAAGCTATTCCTTTATTTTACATTCTGTTAATGCGTACTAACTATGTCTAAGAGAGAATCTTTGCTTTTCCTTCTGCTTCTACTTTGTAACCTATTCCTCTGCAGCTTTTTATACAAAATATTTATCCGCATCTACTAGGCGCTAGCAATTGTTTCTGCGTATTCTATTTAGCAACACTTAGAATTAAAACTGCTTATTTTATAAATTTATGCTTATATCTTTGCAGCAGCATTTCTTTTAACACTCCTTTTTTAAGGATTTTTTATACATTAATCTTAAGCCTGTATTACTTACTTTAAAGATACTATTAAGGTTAAATTAACTCTATCTTAACTACTAAAAGTTAAAGCAGGGCAGTATATTAATCTCTAGATTCTATTATTAAGCTTCTAGTCTATCTTCTAAAGTCACCCCTTTACTATAGCGTCTTAGTTAGATAGAGAGCAAAATTCCTTAGATCTGTTTATTAAGCCTTGTAGAGGCATAACCTAGAAATTATTGCGTCACCTTACGCCTGGCACTAATAGCTCACAGCCTCGCCTCAATGGCTCGCTCCCCCGCCTAGCTCTGTTTAGCGGGCCACACAGGATTAGCGCACTAGTAGGCGATTATAAAACTGTTCTTATAGTAACAAGCAGTTCTGGCATAGTTGCACAGCTACTATACCTAAAACAGCTAATATATAGGTATAATGCTTGCAAGTCCCGCACTTGCTAAGTGCATCTAGTATAGCAATTAGAGACTAGAGGTAAGGTCCTAATTATAAACTGCTATATTAGAGCTTACAATACTTAGAGACTAGGATTGCAGTGCAATCTATAATTAACTAAGTTCTAAGAAACAACACTTTTTATGTTAGTATCCTAATTCTAATACTATTATTATAGAATGCTAACATATAGCAGATCCTTAGCATCTTAATGTATATAAGATTAGGAGGGGCGCATTTAGTGACAATAATAAGAGAGGATAATATAGGTTAATATATTAGTTTGGACATTGGCTCCGCAGACCTCGAGAACAGTACAGAAGGGGTGGATACAGTGCAAGCCCGCCAACTTGTTAACGTGCACAATGGGTCCGCAGATCTTAAGATGATACTTTGGGAAGAGAGGGAGGAAAAACATATTAAAAGACTATAAGAAGAGACAGAGGAGCGAGGTGAAATATTAGTAATGGGTGAGACCTTATACGTTATGTTGTTTTTACACCGCTAATTGTTTCTAGTGTCAGGAACTGACGAGTTACAAGACCAACTAAAGGATCTTGTGCGCACCTATTTAGATAACCAGATGAGGCTCCTCGAATTAGAATACCAACCGGCGTGACTGTGAGGCCTGTCAAAGGAAGGAGGTATTTAGGTATAGATAATTTTCAGATATGTTTTTCTCCAGCAGCTTGCTACGTCGGTGTCGAGTATATGGCGTATTATCTCCACCACATCAACGGAAGCCCTTGTCTTAATGATACTAGTAGGCTACAAACTTAGGCGTACCTGGAATTTATGTAGAGCTACGCCAAAGAGGATGGGGCTGTCAACGTCGATGATCCGCATCGCCGGCCTTCTGACTCTAATGCCGTCAAACTATTCTACGAAATCTGACGCTCTATAGTATCCGTTATTGAGCCTCCCATGGCAGGAATTGATGCTGAATTGCTTGTTATTTGATGTTCTTGATCGCTTTTGGGGCCAATACAAGTCTAGTTACCTATGCGAATCACGAGACAGCCTTGTGTCCAGGTATACAGGTTCATGGATATAGGACTGCTTCTATTCTTAGTGTGCTGGTTCCTAGATCTGGCACCCCCTCTTTTGCTCTATTCCAAGTCCCAAAACTGGGACTGCTTCTATTCTTAGGCCGGAACTTGTATTTGCCACCACAATTCTCCAAACCTCTTTTCCAGGCATGTTGGTAGGACCTCCACGCTAGGCCGTGACGGAGACCATCCAGGTATGCGCTCTAGCCGCTAACAGTTCCTTCTGACTTGTTACCTATTTCTTGTTACGCCGAGAATCTTCGACTTACTAGTCCCGGACCAATGCGGGGTTTGCCTTGCTGTTGGCACAGCCACGGGCCCGAAAACCACAAGCTTGGCATTTGGGATCACTTAAGGGATACATGCGACGATGATTATGTAGGACGTGCAGGGCGGCTTTGATCGAAGGTACTAACTGGGGTAGCAGGTTACCGTCTATTTCTGCTGGGTTCTAAAAGTGTCCCCTTGATAAAATAAAGTTTGGCAGCCTTGGCATTTAGATACCCCAAAACTGGAACCACAACTCAGACTTCGCCCAGGATCTATAATACAGCATAAATGTCTTTATTAAAATTTACATTTACAACTGAACCACAGTGAACTTCTTACAATGTACATTGACCTCGACATCATAACCGAGGACCAGGAGTCCTATAGACCCAAAACACCATTGCAATGGGCAGAGCAGGCCCTCCTCTAAGCGAATTCTAAACCAACAAAGACTATAGCCTAGATGGAACTACTACGCGGCGTCAAATTGCGCCAGGGTCGTGATCAGATCAACTTGTTTCCGCCCTAGAATTGCGAAGCTGCTTTGGCGTATAGTCGCGGACAAGTAAGAGATGGTGTACTGGCTTGCCTGGACTGCAAAAGGGGAAGAGGGCCGTTTTCCAAGTGTGTAATCCTGAAAGGTTATCTAAAAGGATCCTGCTCCAATTGTCATTATAGTGCCGAAGGAGCGCGCTGCAGCCTTCGATCCAGTGAACAAGAGCAAACTCTTGCATGAGCTGAGGAGGGGACATATGGCAAACGACTCGACAAGGGAGCGAGATCCAAACAAGGTGGAATGAGTGTATTGTAAGGTCTAAGGAGCTTGATAGAGCTCTGAGCTGACTATATACTGTACGAGATAGAAGCTATGCCTAATGAGTGAATAGTGCAGTACATGGGTATGATATCGCGTGAGACACGTGCGACACAAACAGCCAAAAGCAAGACAGATGCCAAGAATCCAAGCTGTAGCCTAAAGAGTATTAGGCAATCTAACACCCTAGGGAAGCGCTCTGAACGAACCAAATGCTCCACATTCCTTGAACTATCGGACGAATCGGCGAGTGAATCCAATACGAACGAACAAATACGTCCCTGGTCGTGCCCAACAGTCCTAGAGCTTAAATGGAAGGTTCGGAAGAGGCAGAGGAAGGCAATGCGTATGCAGAAGCTCGCTAGCCTACACAAGCGTATAGGTGACTTGCTTGAGGAGGAGGTAGATGAGCTGAATGAATATATAGAGATGGGAGCGAGTCTGCACGACTCCTAAGGCAATAGCAAATCAGTGTTGAACTATAGCCCTTATCAAGCAAATTGCATGTAACTAATGCGCATACGAAAGATCCCATAAGAACTGAAGAGAAAGGTTTCCTGCTGAGCTTAATCACGGTGTAATAGGTATTTGGTACGCGAGTATAGGCATTCTGCCTGCTTGTAATCACTAAAAATAAAACTTGTGAGGACACCTCTCCGGGGAGACAGATCTGACTAGGAAGCCTCTCCGGGAAGAGAAATTTGACTGGGACGTTTCTCCCGGGAGAAAAATGCGGGGACGCCTCGCCGGGGAGACAAATCTGACCGGGATGCCTCTCCGGGAAGAGAAACCTGACTGGGATGGTTCTCCCGGGTGACAAATCCGGGGACGCCTCTCCGGGGCAATTAATCTGACTGGGACGCCTCCCCGGGAAGAGAAATCTGACTGGGACGTTTCTCCCGGGAGAAAAATGCGGGGACGCCTCGCCGGGGAGACAAATCTGGCTGGGACGCCTTTCCGGGAAGAGATATCTGACCGGGACGTTTCTCTAGGTAGAAAAATCCCAGCACGGGTTTGAATGAATTTTTGGCAAGAGAAGTTACAGTCACCAGAGGGATAATGGAACTGTCTCACTAGTTTCATTATATTAGAGTTACACGTGGTATATGGAGCTGCTTCTAGCACTCGCTATTAATTAATGCAGTTCCTCTGCATTATAATCCCGAAGATTGACCTCCATACAACTAAGCTATTTATCATCGGGAAGGTATATGACTAAGCTGCCTATTATCAGGATGTCCCATTCGGGGACCTTCAAAAAGCCGTTTGGGGAAATTTCCATAAAGGGGGTTATATTATCGCTAGTGCTATTTATAACATGGTTCCAATATTGCACTTTTGGAGAGCACATACCGTACACAAAAAGAAAAGCGACCTCTCCCGATTTCGCCATGGTATGTACTTCTCTCACCGTCGTTGACTCTATCGCTCTAGATGATGGCTTATCATCGATTACCACCGTTAAGCTCGAAACTTCAGGCCGAAGAGCAGATTTCTGAGACGCTTCGAACGCCTGCAGCGCCGTCGTACGCCCGCGAGAGCATCCCGAAGCCGTCGCCTTTAATATCTAAAATGGTACATGAGGCTTGTGCTCCCTTAGATCCTGGGCCTTGTACGACTCCGGCTGCGGTATCTTTCCAATCTACGTCATCCTCAGCGCCCGAACCAATATTAGCGCAGCCAGTGGCCGAAAGCGATCCAACGCTCCCCATCAGATGGCCATCACAGATCGCCCAGAGCAGCAGTACCATGTGGCTATTACCTCCTGGCTCGGACCAATCCTCCGCGATTGCCCAGCTTCTTCGGACAGAGATCCAATCGCATAACATCACACGGGAAATGCTGCATGCAACTGAAACTCGTCGTCTAGAGGCGGCTCAGAATTACAATCGCCTGTTGGCTGACACGCACAGCTGGGCCACAGCATACAATAATATGACTTCAGCTCTCTACAAATGCTTGGAAGAGTGCTCTCGTTTGTCAGCCGAGAACGCGTTATTAAAAACGCGGCTGCATTGCGTCAATATGCAGGTTAGTCATCAAATCAACGAAGGCGTGCATCAACAACTGACTACAGAAGTTGAGCTTTCGGCTTGATGAGTTTGCGCTAAAGGACAAACAGATACATCTTCTCCGGAAGGAACTTTTACGCCAATTTAGCGAAGAAAACCAGGTTGAATCTGTGAGCGTCGACTCTAACTCCGATGCCTCCGCAACGAGTTGGACAGAAGCACAACTTGAGCTGGAAGACTCGCCGTCGCCTTATTTTCTAGAGTGTTAGATACAACCTACATACAAATGGACCTAGCTATATCTACAATAGATACTAAGCTTGTAAAGGTGCTAAGAAAACTTTCTTAATAGGACCTATATTCTTATTCTAATAATGATGAGAGACCTTGATGCTACTCCTGAAATTGCTCGAATTTGCGTTTCCGTCCTAGTAACAGGCTGTCTCTAATTGCACATGCTCTCTGAAGGAGCTGTTCTCTATCTTCCCCTTTAAGCCGATGCGGATCGTTAAGCTTAAAGCGAACGTCTTTAAACTCCGGAACCTCCCTGAACACCTGGAGAAAGCGGAAAAACTCAACCTCTTCTTTCTCGCCCGTTAACGTCCCTACTGTGAATAACTTCATCGTAAGGCGCCTTAGCTGCGTTCTTTGTTTAGTGCGGAGTGCATCGACGAAGTCTAGCAAAATTGAGCGTTCGGCATTCTCAAGGTCTTGGATATCCACCAAAATCTCAATATTGTTAACGTATTAAAACGCTTTGCTGCCAAGCAATTGGAGGAGCGCAGATACATTCCATTTCCACCCTAAGCCGTGTCTGTGGTAATATTGACCGCCCTAATCAAAAGAATGATTATTAATGCTTAAGTCATCCTCCTTATATTTAAGTTAAAGTGGCATTGTGCTATACATTAGACTTATAACTTCTTTACAGACCTGTTTGTTAACCTTAAGAACAGTGTGTCCAACCGTTAGTTACGGAGCCTTTTGGAGGCTGTATAGTACAGTTACGGAAGAGGAGGCTGTTACTAACTAACTGTACGGAGGAGATGACGTCAGTGTACGGTTAGGATACAGTAACTGAAGTATATTAAAGTATTATGAAGTAATTGCGCTAAAGCTAAAGACTATACCTAATTAGGAAGTTGTGATACCCCTTGTGAGATCTACTGTTGTTAATCTCACTGTTTTAATGTACTCTGTAAGCTCAGTCAGCTCACTAGTAACAGTGTTGTTACGTAACTAATTCTTCTGCAGTTAAAGAGCCTCTATTGTCAACCGCGTTGTTGATTGGGATAGGAATTGGGACATCATAATGGGCAAAAGAATAACGTAGATGGCATAGTTGCTGAATTTGTTAGAAGATTGCTAACAAAACAGGCAATAACAGCATTCTCCGCATTAATCTCCAAACACAAGCCCCCTGGCCCTCAGCAACCTGCCTTCAACCGCCCAAAACCACTAAAAATCCTATATAACTACCGTAAACGGTTAGTACAGCAGCCTCATGTATAGTACAGTATACTGAGTAGATGCCCTGTACGTACGTACGTGACCAAAATCAGTGTACTGCAGTACTGTACTATTAGGTGTACTAACGGTTGGACACACTGCTTAAGAAGCCCTATACTGCTCCCTTCATGCTAAGGAGTGAGCCCTAAAAATGGAGGAAACGCGTACTTGTATATTTTGTTTTGGATTTCCCCTGGAAGGTCGAGCAGCTTAGACTGTCTTTTAGGCTGTAATAGGTCGTGATTGCCGCAGTACCATTGTTGGTCTCGTGTATCTGTACGGACAAATGGCCGTCTGCATCGATGCCCACATATAAGCATCGCTGCACACCGGGCCTGGAGGGAATAGGGATGTTTTCGAACGCCACGTTGTGACCATGCCGTGCGCTCCCATGAAAATAACGGTATCCTGCCGAAGTGAAGTTCACATTCCGCAAAATGAGACTTCTCCTTAGCGCTTAATGTAGGTGCATATGATTGTTTGTTGATGGTCTGGGTGTTTGCTGAGCTTTCACGAAGTAGAGGGCCAGGTGCCGGCCATGTTTTTCCGTTGGGTCTTCCTCGCGTCTCCATGCCGTAGAGTGAGGAAGCTATAGAGTAAAGAAGAGCTAAAAAGGAGGCAGATAGGGAGTGTAGAAGCAGATAGTAGATGTTCGTAGAGCAGCAATTTCGAGCGAATACAAAGACCTTTATATATGTACGATACGTCCAAGCCACCGAAAATGCTCCCCGCATTACAGTGCGGCAGTGATGCTGTCGTTGAGTCGGGGTAGGGTGGTACTCCTCCATCAGCAGTTTCAATTTGAAAATCAGCTAGACCCATTTCATGCCTCTAGACCGAATCTCCAAGCCTTTGCACGTACGCCTAAGCAATACTAATGCTATAATTCGACTAGCTTGTGGCAGTGAGTCGCTGCTGATGCCGACAACTCGTCCATGGTCCTAAGCCAGGGTCTGGCCAACCTCTCCCTCGGAGATAGCGGCGCATGGCAAGGAAAGTCATACGATGCTAGACATTGACTTCCGTGGCACTGCTGCTGCCGAAAGACGAGACGCAGTCATGGAGCCTGCTATTCAGACTAGGGGGTTCGTGTCCGCCTTACACGGCAGTGGAAAGGAAGGAGGCGCCTGACAGGTGAATGCATATCCAGGATTCGGAACCCATGCGTCCCAGCAGGAATCCCGTCCGCATCAGAGGCGTAGATGAGGTGGGTTATCATGCATTATAGACCCCATGCCGGAAATAGCATTCATTCGAACTGAGCTGCAGACTTTGAAAACATTCGACAGCCTTACTTCATAACGTATCATCCTTTACTCCTCCATACCTTCACAGCAAGCTACGCTAACCAAGGAGATGTGAGACCCCCCCTTAACACCGAGCGAGAAAAGCATGTACGCAGCCTGAATAATGCGGCATTCTACATCGTACAGCACTGCCTGTCTATCTCTATCCAGGAGGTGGCGGTGTGCACCTGACGATACGGGAGGACATACGATGTGGAGCCAGGGTCATTAGTATGTATACCCGTTGAAAACTCCGTTATCACAGGAGCGCCAGGATGGGCAACTTATGCAAAGAGGGGAGGGGCGGTGGCGCAAGTCTATGCCATGTCTCTGTTTCGAGAATGAGCTCCTCCTGCTGCGGAAACGTGGATAAGGGGGCGATCACAAGTCCCACGTCACACCTACCTGACTACCAGGAGGCACGGAGGAAGTGTGCATCAAAGGCTGACACAATATAATGCCAAGGGTATCGAGGGCCACCTTGTCTCGTATTAGTGGAAAAGAAAGATATAAAGGAGCTTCGTTCCTCGAGCAAACTTCAGGCCATCCAATCCTACCAAGCTCTTCCACAACTCTTCCGCCAGAACACGACCGCTTGCTATAATCCCTTTTCAATATGTTCAGTAACGCTTGTACTTGCTTCGTCTCATCTTATGTCTTCTGTAGTGTCGCAATCGTGGCCCTTTTATTTGTCTGCTTCGCTTTCCCGTCAGTTTTCTTATTTGAATTCTGGTCCACTTTCTTAACTGCGCTCTTGTCCTTTTTAACTTTACTATCATTCTGGAAAATGGGTAAGTTTTTATCACTCTCGATGTGCCCAGTGTACTTACTACTTTGGATGGGGCTAGGTACTAACGCACCAATGTCACTTCCGCCGCTTGGGTCACCAGCCGACATTATACTTCTCGACGGAACTAAGCTTACAATACTGTATGGGCTATTAGTTGTGTACGACCCCGAAGAAGAAGTAGGTCTATATTCTTATGGTGTAGGCAATGGCTAACATTCCATTTAGACCGAAATCATGTTGCCAGTGTGGTTAGACCGAAACTATTCAGAACCCTTGGAAAGTAGCACTTCAGCGGGCAGACACCAATAGAAGGTTTTATGGCAGATAAGAGAAAGTCAGGCTATTTATTGCCTAAGCTGTCAGCAAACAACAAACTAGCCATATTCAGTCCTACTTAGGAAGGCCCGTTGCCTATGAATCTGGCTCTTATCCCCACTGGCCCCATGCTCACCGAATTAGATCGATAGAATGATCTTTCTTACCCCCGGTTCCACCCCCTTTTCCCTCGTCTTGCAATAGGTGAATTTCAAGTTTAAATTAGAGGTAGTTAGGCATAGATTTCCTACGTTAGAGGCTTTTAGTTAACTTCTCCATTTCAAAAAACATGTGAAGGTGCATAGATGCAGTCTACTTTTCACGCCAAGTAGATATCTCTTACGCTTTTGACTCATCCAGACCTGAGTAAGCAAAAGTACCATTCTGTATAAGTTCGCATGATCACCCGAAAGAATAACAACCACTTAAATTCTTCTAATATCTGTTTAAGAATGCACCATCCATTCCCAATAGTCAGTCCCTAATGTGATTACGTCATCGGTTCGCGGTTTTGCCCCCAGTCCCTCATATTTGAGAAATTTATCGTAGTCGTGAAGTTTATTGCAGTTATTCAATAACATCAGCCATGTCTCTTTCTTTGACTTCTCTCGGACATCATTCCAAGAGAAAATTATAGGATCCTTATTTTCTCTGCTATAATGATGGTATTCCAGGTTAACTATAGTAGGTCGCGAGACAAGTTTTCCCAGAATAGAGCAAATAAAGTCGTTTTGAAGAAAACAAACAAGACATGGAACTATAATCTTGGTATCTAGGAGGAGAGATACAGACAAAGGGGTTGTTTTTTCGAGTAAGAAGGCCAACAGGTCACCTATTTGTAATAGCTCCTTAAGGCTGTGTCTAATTTTAGTAAAATTATAAGTGGCATCCTATAGATCCCTCAACAATAGGTGGATCTTAACTCTTTGTAGAAAGGTTTTCAGTACCAAACGAAGGGGAAGCATTTTAGAGCGTAGGAAGGTACAAAGTTCGTCCACGGGTATGCTCTCCTTTAAAAAAGTACATTCAGTCGTTTCATAGGCAGTCTGCAGAGCCTCACAAGCGATTTCATTTCCAAAAAAGGTGGGGGCAACAAGGTGCAGTCGGCCAGGTTCCTTCACAGTTTCGTTTCCTCTTTGATTATGGATCCAAGGTAACCATCCGAGATTGACCGCCCAGTACATCTCGTAGATAAACCGCCGCAATTCGAGCGGTAAGCATTTCAGTCTTTGGGCGAGCTGACGCGACTCCTCCATTGACTTTAGTATCGTAGGGTTTGCAGGTTTGGGAAATGGTTTGCGAGGCACAGTTTGTAGTCGCACGTTTGCTTTTGCGTGAAGGATAGATCATGGCGGGAGTATGCGGCGGATTCAGGAACAGAATATGGATGATGGCGAGATTGTACGAGTTGATGGGGGGAATGTCTTATTTATATATGAGACAGATATTGGGGCTAATGGATGCTTCCTTACCATTTTCTGGTCAACCCCCTCCACCCCCGAGAACCCATGATTTGGCCGGTAGGCTGTGCTCTACGAAAGCCTTGTTCGCCTGGCTATACCCATACTCATCTCTCCCTACGTTAAAGAAAGAGTGGGACGGCACACGCTCCTGGTTGGCGTAATCTTTTGTGGAGGCGCAGTTAGGTATGCGTTAAAGAACGAATACATCGCCACCCCTTACTTTAAGGCTTCTCGTTTCCTAAGCAGCATAAGAGTAGGAGTCACCACTGATATGGTGAGGCAGCTGACACCAAAATCAAGTTTTCTAAGACGTGGATGAGGGGGCAGTACGATGCATGGCTTTGCCATCATGATGATCGTGGCCACATTGGCTGCAATTCCCAGTACGACTGTATAACGCTGTCTTCCCACTTCATGCAACTTGAAACGGCATGGCTAGCATCCACAGGGATGGGGTTACCTAGTGGCTTGCTATGTCCGAGCAGGAGCAAGGCACACATTAGAGCAACGTAAATCATTCCTGCTTTACGCATCGTCGAGGCAATTAAGGCACCGTATCCACGTTCTGTTATGCTACCCGCCCTATCTCTGCAGGATTGAGCAAACTCGAAGCTCAAACCACCACTGTTACTGCCCTACATGGTACGTAAAAGAGTGGACTTCAGGTTCACTCCCCAATCTTAGCGGAAGCTACTAGGATTTAGAGTGTTTCCGTTCATGTGATACCAGCCAGCCACAGCCCCTGAGATCTCACTCAATGCTGCAGCCGCACTGAGTCTATCATGGAAGCTTCCCTGCCTCACTATGCAGGCATCAAGTCAAATAGATCCGCTGAAACGCTGCAGCCTTGAGCTGTCTAGTTAGAACCCGATCTAGTACGTGGCATGTGCGAAACAGTTAGTTTGCATGAAGCAGCCCATGGCTATGCTCAAGTTACTAACCCCCTCCGTTATGTGCGTTTAGGGTATAAATCAGGGCTCCTCCCATCTCATACCATGCATTCTTTTCCACTCCTACAGCTTTTTTCTTCCTCTTGTTTAGCCCTTTGCAGAACACCATCTCCAACATCAAAATGGCGAAGCAATTGTATTCGAGGTGCCGCCAACGGAAAGGTTTATGCGTCCAGAAAGCCCGGAAAAATGGACCTGGTTACATTTTAAATACGTTGATTGAGGACTTATTACAAATAGAGCAACTGAAGAAGGATCTGAGCATGAAGAAAAACATCGTGATTATTAGTGGAGCTGGAATTTCCACTAATGCAGGCGGTAAGTTTCAACACTAATTATTTCCACTAGAGAGGTATCCTAATTTAGCTATAGTGAACGACTTTCGCAGTCTTTCAAAGGCTAGAATGTCAAGCTGAAACCTATTCCACTCATCTGCGTACTGCATCCCTGAACAAGCTACCCAGTTGCACAACTAGCTGTTGACTATATTTAAATCCGCTTTGACCTCTGGCCCTACGTTACTTGACCGTCTCATGGAAGCATGGGCTCAGTGTGGTCGCGTGCGACGACATTACACCTAAAACATCAACTGCCGCAGCGATAGACTCCCTTCTCTATCTCAGAGGACGGTCATGCTTCACGGTCGGGTCGACACGCTTAGATGCAGTATTCGTCCTCAGCATACTTTTCGTGTCACGGCAGAATCATTCCCTCAACTGGTGAAAGAGCGCTGCCCTATGTGCCAAAAAGAGCAGAAGCAGCGAGAGTTGGAGGGCAAACAACAACGCTCTACGGGTAGCCTTTAATCAAACGTACTACTTTATGGAGAATGCAATCCTAACAAGTTAGAGATATTAGTAGCTTTTAACAATGATCTACATTAGCCTGTTGACGCAGTCATTATTGTAGGAACAAGATTAGAGATTAGTGATTTAAGGGACTTTGTGGAGAAGCTCTGTAAAAAGGCAAAGTCAGGCAACAAGGAATGCTTAACGGTGTGGGTCAACCGGGAGCCTCCAAAACGTAGGGTCAACTTCGAGATGGACTATCAATTTCTCGGCAATTGTGATAAATTTGCGTTGGCTGTGTTAAGTTAAGAACAGTATATTGTTGGTTTTTAACAGCATTATACTTATTTGTTTTGTCTGTTAATGTTATGATGAAGTGCTTCCTATGGTAGTGGACGGTTGCGAGTCAGGTGACGCAGTTTCTAATAGCAAACGCTATAATAATTAGTAGGGTAATCAAGACTGTTTTCGCCAATGAAGATAAATGGCAACCATTTCCATGTAGGGAACCCCGCATCCGTTGCACAATTCCCGAAGATTAGCTGAAGGGGCATGGTGAGATACCATTGCCACAGCCTAGCCAGTCTGGGAATACAATTCTCTCCGGCCCAATCTGTAAGTGCTTTGTTAAACGCCTAGAGCTTTACGAAGCTTACATATTGTAGTTTTCCGCTGCTAATTCAACTAACTTAAGTGCAAGATTGATGAATTAGAACAAGCGGTATCTAATACTCAGGTCAGGGTTATGGCTCTGGAGATATCGGAGGATATTATTTGCGACAAACATGAGCGCGTTAGAACTTGCCTTGCATCTCTAAATTCCTCCTTCTAATGTCCGTCCCTAAGTAGCGAGACGCACCCCGTCGCGAGACAATGTGTAGGTACTTGAAGATTAAGCGGCTCTTATTTTCTAAGCGCATAGAAATCTTCTAAAGTCTGCTAGTAATAATTTTCTAAGCCTACATGAGCAAGCTCTCGTCCCAATGAATACAAAAAATACACGGCGTTGATGCCTTCGCACCTGATCGTACAGAGCCTGCTTCTTGAGCGATAGTCCGGACCTACGCCGTATAACACCACCATCGACTCTGCTGGCCACTTAACCTTATAAGATACTTTTTCTAGGTTTCCGAACGTTATCGGAACAATCGGAAGTCGTTGCTAGCCCTTGGCGATTGTGGCGCGCATATTCATGCGTTATTGCCACCCCAGTCGGTACTTCGGATCAGCTTCCATTTACAGCTAGTATGACACCGACCCCGCACGTCTCTCTCCGTGTACTGTATTTTACGTCAGCAGCCGTCTGTGGCTGTTCAAGCCTACGGCTGCACCTTCTTCTCTTATGTATAATCACGCAAGATGGATGATTACCTGACTAAGTTACTTAAGTTAGTTCAGCTTTGGAGGCCATAGCCAACCTACTATCTTAACATTTCCGAGGTACTCAAGTCTCGAGATTATTGATTGCATCACGTGAGATACGGTAGATGAACAAGCGTTAGCCCATGTTCTATTTTAAAGCCATGTGGTCCATTCATTGTCTACCAGTCCATTGTTGCTTGGCACTGCCGTGAACTCGCGGGCGCTCGCTCTTGCTAACTTACACCGTTCCAGTCATAGCGACGGTTAGCTAACGTTAAGAGTCGAGTACCGTCCGAAGGCCTTGCGGAGTTCAAGGGGAGCCGCGGCTGTCAAACGTGAGAGACGGGAGTACTTGCAGGATATCTTGTGAAGTGCTTTGGGGCCAGGGCATCTTTCATCGGAGCTAATATCTTGAATTTATGGAAAGTGCCTGCTGGAAAGGTGGTTTTGGAGGGCATTGAAACCGCAGTGGTTGATTGGGGGTTGTTGAATGATGACTTCCTGGCAGACTATCAAGACTTTTGCCAGTATCGGGACATGAAATGGGACTAGCTCGTTGATTTGTATTCGGACTTGGTCCAAACAGAACCTTGTCAGACCGCAATCACAGCACACTTCGACGCAATTCGGAAAGAGGTAGAAAAGGAGATTGATGACGTAGCGATACGAATTGGACTGTAACCCGACCCTAAGTTATACTGTACATAGCATTCCTCCTCGAGTAACGTTGCTGCTGTAGCCATGAACGCCTCCTTCGCCTCCCCTTGCACACTCGTTCTCATCCCCCGCAACTCCAGCGCCACCATACACATGTCTTGCAGAAGCAGAAGGCGCTAGGTGAAAGTTGAAGTTCCAGATATACAAGCTCATAATTCGAAAGTAAAGCTAAGGAGAAATTCAATCTGGTCGAGCACACCAACGAGTAGGGATTTAGGAAATGTGGGCTCACATCATAGCCATATACTGCGCCAGTCACACTTTGGGGTATACAGAGCCTTCGAGATCGAGAGCATAATAACTATCGACACATTGTACCACCCAGTCGAAGTGCGAACTAATCATCATTCTCGAAATGCATTGACGCAGAGATCGTGGTCGAAAACGACTTCTTTTTGCACGATACACCAAATGAGTTCATCCTCCGTTCTCCACCCACCAACACCAGGGATTCCTTCGTCCCTTGCCCGGCCAGCACAGCTCTTACAGTATTCTTCGCTACTCTTGCCATGTTTTGCGTCCGGGCAATAGAATATGTTCCGCTGCACTGTCACGGGAAGGATTGTGGTCTCCATATTGCTCCTTGTCGTAATCTCAACAAAATGATCCTCCAGCATAGATGTGTGACCATTAGGCCAGCATGTAGTGTGTTTTCGGTAAGAGCCACGTTCCTGAGTCTCCTTGGCGATGTATTGTATCTTGACAGCCTCCAGGTATTTTCGCTCGCATAACCACTTTTCTAGCCTGCCAATGGCGAAATATTTTGATTCCCCGAGTAGAGCTTGGTACAGGGGAAAGTCGTGGCCTGCCAGCCTGTCATAGAAAACTGGCAAAACACCGGTGCGGAGATACCGAAGGATGTGTTCGAAGAGGTTGGCGTCGGTCTCAATGAAGTATGAGCTATCCTCCTGTTTGTCGCCCCATTTTCCAGAGAAAAGATTGTTGAAGTATAAGCTCTGGCCCAGCCATCCGTCAGGGTCGGTAACGAAGTTGCGTTGCGAGGTTTTAATTATAACGTGCATGGCCTATACCTTTAGTTGACAACGAAACAGTTGGCGAGCTTGCGCAAGTTAGAGAACATTGCTCCAGAGAGACACAGACGTGGGGTTAAAGAGCCGGTGCGGGGTTGAAGTTGCATTACCCAAATAGTTAGAGAGCATTAGGCTAGTTACAGTATGTTCCCGCCACAGCTTGGCATCGCACTAACTACATTCTCTTTCGATCCGGCCTAAAACTGGGAGGACAGCGTCGGCCGCGCGCGCGATGATGTAGGGTACCGTGAGGAACGTCGCCATAGTCCGCGAGAGCGCGGTACGATTTACGAACGCCGGGAGGGACCCCTTGTGCTAGTACTTGGCTGGCTTTATCCATAATACTTCGTGTTGGTGAGGCACGAAGGGAGCGAGCCGCAACCTCCGGACGACCAGACGGCGCGGGCGGCACGGGCAACGCGGCAGCACAAAGAACACATTCCGGACCCACGCCCACGCCATGCGCCACAGTTATTTTTGGAGGATCGTCCGAGTAGGCATAGCCTTAAATTTATTACAATTCTATACAGTATAATGTCAGCATCTCAATATAGCTAGAGCATCTCGTCATATCTGGAGGCATTCAACGGTGTTCCTCTCTGCCCGGCGAAACTCACGGCATCCACTTTTATCAAGGTTAACATAACTTTAAGTGTGGAAACATTGTCCCTATAGTATACACTAACCCTGTACGCCTCCGAAATCTCAACCAAGGCCTTAGTCTGCGATTGAACAGAGGTCGATTGTTGAACCGGCGATCAACGGCGGTAAAGAAATAATCAATAACGTACGCAACACAACAGATATCCTCACCGGGGGCCAGTATCCTATAGAATAATAGCAATAGATTTATGCTACGTTATTACAGCCCTCTACACCCGTAACTGCATGATTCTAAAGGTCTGATTTGCAAAACTGTCTCGCGACAGGGTGCGTCTTGCTACTTAGGGACAGATATTACCTTCACATAACACATTATTATATAAGTACTTCTGTTAATAGATGCATTAACGTGTCTAAAGCTATGTAACGTTAATTATAGTTTGCGACCTCCCTATTTGCTATTTTTTGGTAAGGGCAGATCTACCTAGTATTCTATATTAGCCTTTTTAAGCTAGCACCTTTAAGTTACCTATTACCTTATAAACAACCCCTAGCTAAGGCAGTAATACCCTAAGCAGGAACAGATATATAGGATGTAGACTACATTATAGACTAAGAGCTGCATAAGGGAATATAGCTATACAGAGTATGCTAGAAAAGGTTTAGAGAGGAAAATAACTAACTGCTCTTAGCAGAAGACATATTTAAAGGGGCTATAAATAAATTTTAGAGATAAGTAGAACTACTAGTACAAAGGAAAACAAAGAGAAAGAAGAGAAGGCTAAATTAGGCTAAAAGGGACTAGACTAAAAGGAATAAACCTAGACTAAATAACTTTATAAAAGCTTAAAATATTTAAAAAAAACTTTTAAGCACTATAAACTTTAGAAACTTAGCCTGTTTTTTACTATCCCTATTTTTAAATACTACTAGATTAGTCTAGATTACCCCTAGACTAGCTTAAATACCCCTAAAAAGAGAGATAGATGCACTATAAAGCCTAGACTTTACTAAAAAAACTTAAAAAAAAAGTAAGCTACTAGAGAGAATATAAAAAAAGTATAAAGTGCTATAACTATTTCTAGAGAAGCTACTGCTATGTAAAAATAGACTAAACTGTCCTAAAAAAGAAAAGAATAGTAGGTAGAAACTTAGAAAAGGTAAAACCTATTCTAGGGGGCCTAGACAGGCCTAGAGACCCCTAGATCTGCTAGACTAATGTAAAAAAAAAAAAATACTAAAAAAACTAAAAATAAAAGTAGACAACTTACCTTATCTTTAAAAAATGTTTTACTTAGAGTTAAAAGTGTTAAAATTATAAGTAAAGTTAGTTTTCTACATACTTTACTTACTTTTATAAAATTTCTTAGTAAAGAAAAGGACTTAAGCCTAGAGAATACTAAAATTAGTAGTAAAAGGCTAAGTACTCTAGACAGGGTTAGACTGCTTTAGAAAAGCCTAGATAAGTATAAGTTAAGGAACATATAGTGCAGACACGCTTAAAGACTAAAGAAAAAAGTCCTAAGCTATTATTATTACTTATTTTTTTTTTTTTACACTTTACTAATGCCTTCTTCTTTGCCTTACTAAGACTAATAATACTTAAGTCCTTAAACACCTTCTTACTAACATAGAGGGAGGTTAAGGTGTTACTAGCTATCTTGCTACAGACAAGCCTAGCAAAAATTAGTCTAGAAACCCCTAGAAAGCCCTAGAGACCCCTAGAGAAACTTAAAAAAGTTTAGAAAGTAGCTAGAGATTATAAACTTATTAAAATAAATAACAACTTTATTAACCTTTTTATAAAGACTTTTAATAATGTCTAGTAGGTACTTCTAAGTGTTACTAAAGTTAATTTAGGTTTTAAGCTAAAAAAAACTACTAAAAATAGTGCTTATAATAGTTATAATTACTAAGCAACAGTCTTCTAGGCACTACAACTTAAGAATTAGTAAAAAGAACTAAAAAGCACTTTAAAAACCCCTAGACAGCTATAAACAGCTCTAAGATAACCTACTTAATAGCAGTCTTTACTACTTTTATAGTAGCTATTACACTTTAAAAGGTTATTAGTGCGCTTAGGCTTTAATAAGCTTTAATAAATGTAAGTATTATAAGTCTAAATGTTATAATTCTTCTTAATAAGAAAATAGTATAGTAGAATTACGCCTAGCTTATGCGCTATAATCCTGCCTATAATTTTATTAAAGTAAGTTAAGTAAAGATTAATAGTAGCTAAGGCTTTATTTATAGCTAAGGTAATCCTATCTAACTGCTTGCTAGCTAAAAAAGATATTATTAGTAGTAAAATATGCAAGACAGGGCTTAGGGGGCCTAAGAGGGCCTAGATTAGAATAGACAGAACTAGAGGCCTTAAAAATAGGACAAGGGATAGCTAGCTAAAGTAGCTAGCTAAGGAAGAGTCTAAAAGCAGTTAGAATAGGGACTCTCTAGGACAGATAGAGCTTTATATAGGGTCCTCTAGCCTAGGGGGGCCCTAGAACACCCTAGGAACCCCTAGAAAGGCCTAAGAGCTCCTGCAGAAAATCTCTCTAAAATACATACTAAAAGCGCAGAGTAAAGTGTAGGTGTAATAGAAGATTTAGCTTAGTAAAAAGTATTTAACTTTTTAAATTAAATTTAGAGTAATATAAAATTATGTAACTTTTAAACCTTAAAAAAGGGCCTAGATTTAGGCGTAGAGTTACACTTTAAAAAAAAATAAGGCTTTATAACAACTAGCTATCTAGGTGTTTCCTAGGCTGTTATAGACTAGCCTAGACTGCACTAGGCAGTTCTAGACAACTCCTAAACTGTGCTGTTAACCCCACACTTCTTAGATAATGCCTACCTTGCCTAAAAAGCTAGGCATCCTAGACAGGTAATACTTTAAACTAGACCTACAGCATACTAGATCTGTCGCTACTAGCGCTGCCGTGCCTAGCTCTCTAGAGAAGTATATAGCTAGTTGTAGAAGCCCTCTTTAGATAGTAGAGGATTGCCTTAGGAATTAGGCAGGTACTAATTATACTCCTATGTTACAGTTACGCCCTTGTTAGTCAATACACTTCTTGATTGCGAAGTGTATACCCTGTTTTTTACAATTATAAGTATAATTATAAAAAAGCACTTTATAAGAATTTAGAGGTTATCTAGGGCTAGTTTTACCTAATAGCTAATATAAAAGCTAAGTATAGTATCTAAAATAAAGACATATATAACTTTAATAAGTTAGGCTTTATAATAGGCTAGATATTAACTAGAGCAGTTATTATAGCTTTAAAAAAATAAAAATAGCTAAAAGTAATATAGTAAAGTAATAAAAAGTAGATAATAGTTATTTAAAGCATTAACATAATAAAGTAAGCTATTTTACTTTTTATTATTTTTAAAAGCTACTATTACTTTTTTGCCTAGTATAAGAAGAAAAATCTGCTTTAGAACTAAGTTATTATAGTCTTTAAAAATAGCTAAATAATAAATAAGCTTAAGCTATAGTAGTTAAAGCACTTTGATAAGCATATAAAAAAAAAGTTATAAGCGCTTATTAGCTTTTTATTATTAATAGCTATAAAAGCTATAACTTACTTAATTTCTAGTAGTACTATAAAAAAAATAAGATTATTACTATTTATATACTTCTACACTTATTACACTTTTTATAGCCTTTTAATATAAGTTATTTTACTTTTTTAAAAAAAGTATATAAGCGCTAAGCTAAAAATTTTATGTGTAACTAAATTACTTATATTATAAAACTTAAGTTTTTACTATGCTTTATACGCGCTTATAATATAGTAATTACTTTTAGTAATATCTAAGAAGAGTTTTAAGGCGCTAGTTTAGTCCTATTTAACTTAAAATAAGTTAAAATAGCCTTTAATATTTAGTTATGTACTTTATTACTACTACTACTTATTAATAATAAGCTCTAGTAGTTATAAACCCTAAGTAATACTTTTAAATTTAAGTTATAATTAACACTTATAAAAGTAAAAATTTAAAAGCATATAAATAGCTTACTAACATCTATAGTAAAGGCCTTTAAAAAGGGTTTAAAAGGGGCAGTAATTATTACATATAAGCTAGTGTTAGCGTAAAAGGAGATTATAAAGCTTTAAGTAGTAAATAAGGCTACTATATAATATAAATTATATAAAAAAAGCAAATTTAGGCAGAAAAGACTTTAATAGTTAAGGATAAAGCTTATTTAACTACTTTAAAGGAGTTTAAAGCGTGTAGTAATAAGAAAAAGCTAAAGACACAAGTGCACACTAAAAAAAGTAAGCTAAGTTAAAAGTAATATAAGTAGTGTAATTAGACTAGGCATAACTTATATACATGTAAGTAAGTAGTAGAAGTAGACTTTAAATAATATCTTATGTTATATTACTTTATACAAGGCTAAAGTAGGCTGTTTTGCGCTAGAATAGGGTGGTTTTAGTAGGGGCTTAGCAAAAGTAGCTGGCTAACCTGTGTGGCCAGCCAACCTGTTAGGTACGTTAGTATATTACTTTAAAAGTGTTATATTTTATTTAAAAGCCTAAAGTGTAAGCTATATATATTTTTTTTTTAGGTCTAAGTAGTGTTGTTAGAAATGCATTAGTGTAAAAAAAGTAGTTTAGTAAAGTCTTAGTAAAAGTAAGCAGCTTAGGTGTGTAAGCAACTTGCCTGTAGAGTACGTTAATAAAAAATTAATAAAAATAGTAGTAAAAATTTTTTTAAGCAAGCTAGCACGTTTTTTAAACAGTAATTATATAAGGTAGTACAGAAAATTCCACTTATTGCACTGCAAAAACACATTAACAGTAAGATAAAATACCTCCCTCTAGTATTGTTAAACTTTTAACCCTTACTTTCTGTAAGTAACAGCTTACAAAGTGCCTACTGTTATACAGTCACATGCCCGTAACGGTAGTCAACTGTTCCAACAGTAGCACGCCCTGTTGAACACGCTGGCTCTTCTAAGAAGCATAGACATCATCTACATCTAATTATCACTATTGAAGAATGCATTCTAGTAGCCCCCTAGGAAGCTTGCTGTACAATAGAAGTAGCTAAGATGTTGCCTCCGCCCAAGGCACGAACGTCTCGAGTTTACTACGTGTTCGCGCGCCATTGTCATCTAACGGTGCGGCCGACAGAAACAACCTTCGTATTCCACATCTACCTGACTGGATGAGACGTAACTGAACTCCGATGTGGGTCATGTGCGCCAACTTCCCTATCATGCCCAATAGCTTCTATTCGCATAATTCTTGCCACATAAAAAGCCATGCTACAGCCTCCAGCATGAAGCCGAGGCGGAATGAGTATCGTGGACTTAACGAAGGACTCATTGAACGCCCTCAAGCTTTTCTGATTCTCGGCTAGTAGCAGTGTGGCGAGAATTCATGGCAGAAGCTTCAGGTGTGTATTCACGATTGGACGTGCCGAAGGCTTCAACGTTCCCTAGTCCATACTCTCGGGTCTAGCATGAACTCCTATCGAGGATGCCCCTGCAGGCTTAGTGGTGGGACGTATTAGCACGAAGTCCCGAGCTCTTATTATCCCCACTAGACTCTATTGAAGCCTGCCTTATTGAGGTATCCTTGTTTCTCACGTCCAATCCTGTATCGAGCCCTCCTTACTGTAACCTTCTCGCATGAATTTGCTCTGCGCTAGTGAAAGTTGAGGTGGCCTAGTTAGATGCCCTGAAAGAATCCTTCCTTGATAACATGCTCTTGAACCTGCTACGTATTGCCGGTCTGATGGAGCCGCGATAGAGTGGCGGAAGCTGCCGCTGGGACCTATTACTCTCTGCCATCCGCAGTGTACGCTCACCTCTCAGCTTCTAGCTATCACATTCTAGGCTGATACCGTAAATTCTGACTGGTCCTGGGATAATATCAACTCTATTCATCTCATATTTGTAGATACGACTTTTAGTTTACGCTTAATTGATATTCAAAGTTAGTCCGAATCACTTGGCTCTCAGCATGAATGGCATATACAAGTGTAAAGAGAGTTATAAATTAGATTATTAAAGTGTACCTAAATGTTGTCTGTATGGATTCCTGAAGTCGTGGCTAAAAGTAGAAAGAGCGCCACTAGTAGCTGAAGATCCTTGTGAACATTATTCTGCCGGCATACTCACAAGGAGAGTATAGACGATCTTTGGTGCCTAAATTTAGGCCAGTTGGTGTTAGAGACTGAGCCAAATGCCAAGAACTGGGCCAATACTTAGGCTTGCTCAGGACAGGTTACTTAGTCACTGCTCATTTTTACACCCTTGCATGCTCAGGTTCGAAAGCAGAAATGGACTATGGTGAGGTCACTTTTAACCATAGAGTAAGCCGCGTACATATGGAAATGAAAGTCGCCTCAAAAGTAGCGTACCGCTAGTCCCTCAAAACGTGCCGTTCAAAAGCTGGGCTAACATAATTTCACGGTCCACTTCCTCACTTATTCCAGGAATCACCAGCAATTCAACCTCCGCAAATTTCAAGTACATCTGACAATACGTAAAGATGCCAAAGTTTTGCACAGATTCCACTAAGAAGGGTGCAATACTATCCCCGCGTACATCAACCTGATTACGCGGGGGAGGTCTGCCCGGTCCACCTATTGTTTTTCTTCCCTCGTGAACATTTTGATACAGGCCTGCCAGCCGAAGGAGCTTGAGAGTGCCAAAGTCCTGTAATTGATGAAATAAGGCCTTCCATGAATCCGATATAAGTCTGACATCCATCATTTCGAAATTTGTAAGGGTCTTGGAGTGCTGCGCGATAAAGGTCCTAAAGCTATACCCAGATATGTAGAGGTGAACAAGTTTGAGACTTCGAAGATTTGGGAAGCTAATAGTGGAGAATGATTTTGTGAAGAGATTGTAGCATCCGGGGCAGAAGTGAACCCAAGAATCGCGTTTGCAACCGTAGATAGTTATTTCGGGAACATCTCGTGTCGCCTTGATTAGAGCTCTCATGCTAGGATGCGAGGGGTCGTACCCTTTATGTCCATGAAGACCTTCAAACCGGACAATGATGCCCCTTAAGCTTCCTGTCGAAAGAGGAACATAGCTCCAAAGCTTAGAGTCACCATCTTTGCGCAATGCCTCAGGCCAGATCACGAACACTGCCACGTTCTCTAAGCGGCTTTCTTTTAAAGCTGCAAGGGCCTCTTCGAAGCCGCCGTCGATATTAATTGTGTGCAGGCCTTTGGCACCTTTCAAGTTGGTAAAAATCTGCGTCAGGATATGGACGACGTCGGGGGAATGTTTAAACTCGAGCAACCCCTCCCAATCTAGATATGGAGATTTAGCGAAGATCTGCTTAATGCTTTCTGGGATGAAGGTCACACCCTGTCCAGGAATTTGGCTCTCTAAGATATCAAAAGTGTACTGAGGTAGGTATTGACCGATAAGGGACACCTGCTGGAAGTAATGCCGAAAAAGAGGATCCCCAGAGAGCCAAAGCATGAGTTCGAGATCGAGAGGAGTAATTCTAAACACTGCGTCCGTGAAACGGTCCTCGAACCGCTGCACTAACTCACGAGGACTGGCATTGTATAAGATTCGACAGGTACTTCGAAGTGCAAGGAAGTTTTCGTTTTCCGGTATTTTGTAAATTTGATGCAGGAGCTCAATCGGGAGCTTGTCTAATTTCGCCGAAGGGTTTCCGCTCGCCATTTCGGTCCCGATGGTGAGGTGAATTAAAAAAAATTTGGAGGGTGTATTGTTGGCTGTGAAGGAATGGGGACGTGGGGATAAGGTCCGAAATCTAACTCAGATAATAAAAGGGAACGTGTCTTTAAATTCCTTTCCACTAACGATATTAGCGGAAATCGTGTGAGTTAGCGGTAACACAGCTACGGGAACTATGGACTATTTTATTGGAGGTGTATAAGTAATTAGGTGCATACCATGGCTCGTCTCAAATATCGTATCAGATGACTCTACCTCTACTGGAGCCCACACATGTAGCTCGCGAAATTTGGTATTTTGTCCAGGGGTACCGAGCACCCAAACCACAAGCTCTAGCCCGGCCACTTTACTGGAAAGATTGTTAATACAGGCGCTCGAGATTTATCCCAAATTTTTGCGTTGTAGGCAGTCAAGTATGCGAACGCCGCGTGGTGCTTTCTCGCAATGCTCTACGCTATCCCCGTTCACGAAAATTCCTCCTACTTTGAGGACTGTGAGGTGAGGCTAGATGCATGTATAGAAATCGCTAAAGACGTCCCAGTGGCCATAACAGACCCTGTACCACGAACCTTTTGCAAGGGCAGCCACATAGCTGAAGTTGATAGAAGTTCCGACCGCCGTCCGGGAGTGTGGTTAATTATTAGCACGGTTTGATCGGTATCCAGGTCGGCCATCATGGTCGCAACACCAAATATCAGTAATTCGAGCCTTTTAAGAGAGGCCTTTGTACTGGGAGATACCCTCTAGCGGTGGGTTATATCTCATCGGGGAGCTGACTTATTGCACCTCCAGAATCGCGATTTTTCTATCAAATTTGCCAGTGGTCATCGCTACTAGAATTGTTTCGCAATCGTTGCAGATCTTAGCTGCCTGAGGATGTGCTATAATCTGGACATTCGGAAGATTTCCTTGAGTGGAGGAACGACTTCAAGCGGCTTTGTGAAATCTCGACACCGTGTTATCCTTGGCCAAACTCCAGAGACGCAGAAGCTCCTCAGACAGCTCAGCTATCGGCGTCAAGCTCCTAAATGCCCTCTCCATAGTTAGTGGTGTCATCGGATGAGGAGTACAGGCACTTTATCATAGCCTTTACAGCAACATCCACATGAAGACGCCATGACAACGAATTCGAAGCGTAGTATTTGAACGTGGCCTCAAAAGACGGACTTGAGCGAGAACCTAGTAGTGATATGTCGAACTGGAGCCAATGTGGGCACGTTGTTCCGTTAGCATGAGCCTTAATTCAAATATCTCGTCGCGTTTACATACTTCGTAAGGCCAACCCGGTTTACGGTAGTGAGATCTGCTAAGAACGTGTGAAGACTAGCGACCGGTGTGGAAGAAGATCCGAACGAAATACTCCCTATAAAGCGCTGCCTAGAGTTTAATGATTAATTGTCTTCGATGGAAAACGAGATCGTGTTCGACAGGAAGTCCGACGTCGCGATTTGTGTCCATTTTCCTAGCATACAACACAGAAACAACAGTCTTGTTAGTGCCCGCGATCTGGATGGTGTGCAAATTGCTAGAGGCTTTAAGGGTTGAGAAGATCTCGTGAAGGATGCGAAGGGTGAATATTTCGAACTCTAGTCGTGCTGCCCATTGCAGGTGAGGCCCGAGCTCAATAGAGGTTCCGTGGTGTTCCTCAAAACAGTAACCATCATCACTCAGGCAGCCGAAGGCAAATCGTTCTAAGATGGTCCGGGAGATATGGTCCTTAAGATAGACAAAGCAATGTGCGTGACTTGGACCTGTGAGGCAGAAGGTGAAAGCCTGAGAAGTTTCTAGTGGCATGTAACAAAGTTGTATAAAGGCTTCTCATATAGTGCTTTGCATACTAGTTGAAGCGCATATTCAGTCGTAGTTGTGGCATATGTGGCTCATGGCAGATGGGACGGTCTCCCCAATCAGCTTAGTTAGAAGGGTGTTAAGGTTGATTGGAGATTAGAGTAGGTTCGCTATAGTTGGGTACTTTCCCTTGGATGTGCGGGAAGGTCTCGATGTCGGTTGAAAGGGGGGCAAATTGGCCGGCTTGTATGGAAAAACCGACGCTGATAAACCGGACCTAGTGCTGGTCGGGCGATTTGTCGACACTGAAAAATTTACCATAACCACACCAGCCTATTCAAAGAACGCCCAACACCGGAAAGTAAGTCATCACCATACGTACCATCTCAAGGTGTTCCCTGTCTTGTGAAGTGCCATCTGCTCGAATTCACATAACCACGAGCATGTGCAGGCGGAGTTAGTAATAGTAATACTAAAGTAATTGCATTAGGAATTCTCATCTGTTCCCTTTAGCCCCAGGCGGAACTCCTGCCCTCCGCCTCGCGATACTCTGACCAATAGCGTTCCTCACATTCCGCTCTTGATGCACGACATTCTGCACCATGTACTTCTTCAACGCATCTCGCAGCTCACTCTTCGCCTTCTCATTCTCACGGAATGGGACAGATTCGAGATCCAGAAGTCGCGAAGTATCCATAGTGGCATCTCGTACGACAGCTTCGAGACGATCGAGCTGCCTATGCCGAGCCTCTTCCGAGTCGTCAGCGGGCCTTGCGGGCTTCTGAGGGTCGTCGCGATACAGCGGGATCAGGAGGCCGAGAAACTGTGCAGCGGATAGAGAGGCTTTGCGTATGATAAGTGTGGCTTGAAAGGGGAGGTAGGCGGGGCGTAGACCTAAGGATAGAAGGAGCGGGTTGAGGTACTGGGATAGGAACGGCGGGTGGTCTGGCCGCAACGCTGTGCGGACTTCGAAGGTGGCAATGGCGAGGACAGCCCAGTAGCGCCAGTATGCCCCGTCTTTGAAGAAGCCAAGGGCATTTGCGCCGACGAGGAAAATGAGGAGGGCGCCGTAAGTATACAGTACGACCAGAAGCGCATGGCTGGTGTAGTCGCGCACAGTCAAGCACTGCTGACACTGATGCAGCACGTCCGGGCCAAACCTGTCGTACGCAAAGCGCTTCGCAGGGTCGAGTATTGTATCCCGTGCGTGCTTCAGGTGCACGTAGTAGTTGTTCGCGGCTTCCTGGTCGACATTGGGCCCCACCTTGTCGGGGTGGAAGCGCACCGTCAGCTTCCTAAACCGCGACTGCAGCCCACTCTCGCCCACATTTACAGGCACGCCGAGGTCGTTGTACGCATTGCTCGCGCGCTGCAGGTTGAAGTCGATCTCGTAGATGATGAAGGCGAAGTAGGCAGCGTAGATCAGCATTAGGAGCTGCCGACGGTGTCTGACGAAGCGGAGAGACCCGGGAGGCGGTTTGGGGTCACCGGCACGGATGAAGATGCCGTAGAGGATTGTTTGCGTCCATCCTGCGACCTGTTGTGCTATCATGAGCTTGTGTCTACCATGCCATCGAGAGTATATGTACCAAAGGAATGATAAACTGCCAGACAATGAAAGGACCAATCGTGTCCCAGGACACGTTTGCCTCGATTGCCATGATGAGAAAACAGGATGCCGAAAAGAGAGTAACGTGAACAAGGGCACCGAAGAGGCTTCGTGTCGACAGCTCACGATGCGGGCTTCCTCTGAAGGGCGCGTGCCAGGTGGCTTCGACATCTGTGGCGGTGGTGGCTGAGTTACACTTGTGCCACACCTGTGCCTCAGTTATGTAATCTCTTTGGCGCGGCTTCCAATATGCACACTGGCGGCTTCCTCTTCATCAACAATGTCCCCACTTGACATAGCCTATCCGCTGGAGTTCTTGCCTTTGTCCGGAAATCACTTCATGCATAGCTTCCTTTTCTATCATTACTATTCTAGTACATCAGTCCTTTCGAAGAGCCGCTGAAATGCCTTAACTATACAGACTCCTGAAGCCGAAGTCTTACGCGTTCGCTCTTGACGCCTATCAATTTAGTCATTCAAGTCGATGCATAGTGCTGTTACAAATATAATGCTATGAAGCGTTCCCAACGCCGATATTGCTGGCCTCTCCCAATAGAAACCGAACATGGGGGTGTCATCCCAGGGCAACGGATGCATGACAACGGCACGGTCGTCGGCCTGTACCCTGGACTCTGGTGTTTCTCCGGCTCTTCCTTATCTATAGTATTTCGTCTCTATCGTACCGATTCAAATCGTCTTTTTAACCTCTTTTCTCCTGTCTCATTCCGACGACTGCATCATTCGCAAACTAATCGCTGCCGTCGTACCTCGGCTCTAATCTTCTGATCTTCGCATTTCACTCTTGGTTCTTTGTCCAATTCACAGAGTGGCCGATATCGATCCCATCCTTACCACGGCAAACAGGGCCGAAGGAGGCGCTGGTGTCTCGCTCTAAGGTGTGCAGAAGTCGCACTTCTTCTATAAAAGTATTGGCTCGGGATCCTAACCCCCATACTCTCAACTCCATCTCTTACCCATCAATTACGCCCCCCGCACCCGGCCCTCCAAGATACATATAACTTCCCCAACTAGTCTGACTCTGATATTCCGCATCCATCCGATACCTATTACTATCACTCACTACAATGCTCCCACTTCCATCATACCTCTGATCTACGCCGCTTGTGTCTGTATACACCATATTACGGATATATGCACTTTGCTGCCACCCCGCTTCAGGCCAATTCCCTGATCCCATATCCGTCGTCGTGAGCTGGGGATGGTTGTCAAAGATCTCACCATAGTAAAAGATCTGGCTCGACTCCGTTTGCAGGGATTTATTTGGGTCTGTGCCAGCGCCGAACAGGGAAGCAGGATAATACCCAATCCACCGGTCGAGCACGAAGAGCCACCAATTCCCATTGGAGAGCAGCCACTGGATTTTGATGTCGTACTGTGTACCTCCACGCGTAGAAAGCGGCGCAAAAGACGTGCCAGGGTAAATCTGAGAATCGTATTGGATCCAGCCAGCGACTTCGCGGTTCCAGCCGCCTTTGTTGTTGGCAGTGGAGGCATAGCCGTCTGTCGTGAAGTAGGTGAAGAGATGGGGTGCAGAAACCTGCGCTGGATAATTAATCCTATGGTGACAATTGTCAGCCGCATCCCTGCCACCCCATGTTATCGATAGCGCAGGCAACATACCATCCAGCCTCCACAGTCTGCGAAACTAGGTTTGAATTATCTCCGGGTTTCGGTACATTAGATCTTATCACCGCAGTCTGCAGCAGTGAAAAGTCCCCACTCGATTGCGTCCAAGCCTTGTAGAGCGAATATGACGCCGAACCACCGCGATTATTAACCCGCTGTGCAGAAGATGCATACCAGTGATCCCCAACCGCTTCCGTCCCAAGATCACCCCTCTGCTCTAGATCATCAGGCAGAGACTTGGTTCGTGTAGTATTTTGATTTAACAACGACATGTCTTGTCTCAAGACGGGAACAGTGCCCTCAGGACCCCTCTCCACACCTTCGGCTTGCAGCATCGCCCATGGTCGTAGACTAGATTGGTTGGTAGCGGATGGTGTGTCTGGCGGAAGAGGAGGTGGGGAGGCGATCTTGCCATTAGAGACTTGTGAGGTGAGTGGGATCCAGTCGATTACTGAGCCATCGGAGTTTGTAGTGGTCTTGATGACCTTAAGATCGCGACGTATAGAGCCGAAATGAGCTTCGTACTCCCGCTTGTTCTGGCGTTGGGGGGGAGATAGAATTGTGGAGTCGTAGATAGGGATGGTAGCGGGTTCATCGATAGGGATGGCATCGCCAAAACTATGGAAGAATAGGAATATAAAAAGGAGGTGATGCAGTCCCATTTCCGTAGGTGTGGAAGAAGTATATTTGAATGACACTTCCTCTAGTTCATTTATCTTGGGACATCTGCGACTTCAAAATATACGCCTTCATGGCCGGGGATCTCAGTGAATGCATAGCCATGTGGACATAAATGAGACAGACTATGAAAATGACCAAAGAGACAATACTTTTCTAAGCCGGTGGCCTATCATCATCGTTAGATTTTTATATTGAAATCTCGACGGTTAGGGAAGCTCTTAACCCGATCCCCTGCCATGACAAGACAAGTACAGCACCATCGGCGTTCCCGTGCGCTCTCCCACCACACAACCCAAATTCTAGAAACACCCAAGGAACCTGAAGAACCTAAGATCATATCCCAGGACGCTTTAACTCGTTTCCCTCCACGTTTGCTTTACGATACCGTTGTACCTGCGCGTTGCTGCACCAAAGGATGCGATGCCTAATGCGGAAGGTAGAGGTACCAACCCCAGTCCAGCTTAGCATCACGCACGCCAAACATGTGCGATGAGCTGGACACGAGGCTCGAAGTTGTGCGTACGGAATGTCTTTAGTTATAATAAATCTAACCTGCATTCGGATTAGCTATCCCCGACTCAATTGTTCGCACAGGGCTCCTTGTTGAGATTTCACTTCAAAAATGGTCTCATTACTCTTTCCGTGTACAAATAGCCACGTTGTAGCCCATATTTCCTGTTGGAAGGTCCGCAGTCTCGAACGTCGGCATCCGCTAGAGTCATAGAGCACTCGCAAACCTCGAACTGCTGGTTGTGGTTTGAGGGGATGAAGGCGCGAAATCGGAAATATGAAATACACAAAGGCGCGACCGGAAAGATTGCGAATCACGTGATCACGTGATTGCACGAATTTGCCGTAAGCGCTTGGGCGCAAATTTCCCCTTAGCACTGCAGCTCAACACGGCGACTGAAAGCACCTGAAAGGTTGAGCTGCAACAGCTCCAACAGCTCCAATATTAACCTTACAGAACTGAAACTTACAGTCGTTTTCCAGTTGTTGCTCGGAATCTGGACTGTCCGCACTCCGACTTTTGCATTCAAAAATCGCCAGACTCATGGCTGGGAAGCCCGCGCCTCCGAGGCTTTCTCGGAAGCTTATGGAGCTGCCGTTTCGCGCTTCAGCAGTGCTAATTAACTTAGAGCAGACGAATCAAACAAGAGCTGCCGACCCAGGGTTGTGGAATCCAACCGTGCACAGAGTTGTGGGGTCCGAAATAGATTGTGGCACAGCCTCACATCCTGTTGTCTCATGGCCCCCACTTAATTCCATCTTCACGTCCTCTCCATCCTTTTGCATCCCTCCACCTCTTCTTGATTTCGGTTCTCTGTCCCCCATCCATATGCGCAAAATCGTTCGTTTCGCAGAGGATGATTCTTTCTTTTCGCGGAAACTTTCTCTGGCCATGGTTTCTGTTCATTGTCTCTTCGTGCGTGTTAGCTGAAGTTGATCCGATTGTTATTAAGGTGCATAGTTACCTCTCATCTGGCGGGGGGCCCAGTTAAGCATCTCATAGGGCTCCCATTTCTTCTATAAAACCAATGGGTCTGAATTCATCATTCGTGGTGTGGGATATCGATACGTGGATCCATCTAAGAACGACCCGCTTGCGAACATACACGAATGGTGTGGAAGAGATGTCCCAAAACTCCAAAACATATCTACAAATGTCCTTCTTGTTGATGGCGTTGCTCCGAACACCGACCACGCCGGATGTATGGAATTGCTTGCAGGTAAGTATTCTCAGATCCTCCAACGACCGATCATTAATGGGTCTCATAGATGCTGGCATCTATGTCCTCGTAAACTTAATTCCATACGACCCAGATCCCTCCCAATATAATTATGATATGACGGTATACAACGACTCGATGAAATTGATAGCCAACATGGCGAAATTTACAAACACTCTAGGGTTTTATACCCCAGCGATGAAAATGTTCGACGACTCTCTACCTGCGTACCCATTATCGAAGGCCCTCATCCGGGATGCGAGGCAGTATATCAGTTCGAACGGCTTCCGCAATATCCCGATCGGCATGACAATAGAGTCTGGTATTACCAGGGGTGAAGATTATGTAGATAACGCCTTGGACTTTGCCAGCTGCGGTGACGTCCGAAGTGACTTCCTAGCCTTGCACTTAGGCAATGACACATGCCCACCGAGTAGCTGGATCAACAGGCAGGCAGAGCTCTTCGCAGATGCATCCATGCCTGTCTTTCTCACTAGTACGGCATGCAATAATAAATTCAATGCCAACGATACGGCAAATTATCCACTGGAGACATTGTACAGAAACAATGTCACCACGAGCTTGGCTGGAGGAATATTTTATGAGTACTTCGCGACATTGCAAGATCCAGGTGAGGCTCGGCATCTCACACTAAGAGCTCCTCAGGAACTAATATGCCTTCGTAGGTTTATGCACGCCAGACTCAAGGTTCGAGCACATTATGGTAGAGGGGGATGTGTATAGCCACCTTTCATCCATAATGGCCTCAATCACTATTCCAACCATCAGCGCCGCCCAGTACACCCCACCTCCCTCTAAAACCACAAGCTGTCCAACGGCGAGCGGAGAATGGAAACCTCCTGGCAGCACGCTCCCGTCAACCCCACACCAGAATATTTGCGCCTGCATGATGCAGACATTAGATTGTGTCGGAAACGAAGTCGTCATAGACAAGCTCAGAGATCCTAATAAACTCATCGGTTACAATCGGCTGGCGTGTGGTTATAACTTGACCGATTGTCCTGGGACTCGATGGAACCAGTCGCGAGGAGAATACAACGCTTTCAGGTGAGAGACCGCACGTTTATCTGCCTTTTTTTTTTCTCAGTGTCGAGGAGGCTGGCATGTATTCTAATACTTAATAGCTCTTGCTCACTCGCCGAACGGCTTTCATGGGATCTCACGTACTGGTCGAAATACAACAACAACAGCGATGGCAGCTGTGATATCAAAGGCTACATAAACCCCAGTTCCGGCAACCTCTCCGACTACGCTGGCGCGATGACGAAACAAACACCGTCGAATAATCTCACCGCTGAATGCAGATTTCTCCTCGACCAGGCTGGGGTCAACGGCACTGGCACAATCACGAACTTCGATTTCGCCAGAGCAACTGCTTCGCCTACTCCAACCCGCAACCCGGGAAAGCAGCCAGCCACCCTCTCCATTGGCGCAAAAGCAGGGATAGCCCTCGGCGCAGCGGTGGCCGTTATCCTTGTCCTGCTCCTCGCGCTGTTCGTCCTGCATCGCAGGAAACAGGCCCGGAAATCAGAAGCGAATTTCGATAAGCCGGAGTTAGATGGCACGGGCGTAGACATTGTCGAGAAATATCAGGGGAGGGAGCTAGGGGCGGAGCATGTGGCCGAGATGGAACATCTGCCTGCGGAGGTGTCGACGGTGCATGATCCACCTGTGGAGTTGCATGGGAATGCGATTGTGGGTGAGATGCCAACGGTGAATGATCAGTCGGCGGAGTTGCATGGGGATACCATTGCGGTGGAGTTGGGTGACAGGTCACCGGAAGGCGGGAGGCAGTTGGAGAGGTTGAGTTGGGTGGAGACGCCCACGGCGATGAGAAAGGGGAGTGGATAGCTGGGTTTTGAGATTTCGCAAATATATACCCTTAGACATATATGCCTATGAACTCAAAGTAATACTTCTATATCCATTTCACAGAGAAGCCATGGCTACTAAGCAAACCGTAAGGCTCCGATCAACATTATGGATCTGCCTAGGCCGTTTTGGAAGGATGCGGTCATATGATGAATGCAAACGAAATAGCGTGCATTTGTCAGCCCCCGTTGAAATCAAAGCTTCGGTTGACGCTGTATTTTCATCTACAGAACACTGGTCAATGCAGGTGTTTCCGTCGAGAATTTTTTTAGTATCCCTAATCTGCGCACTCTCCCTTGTCGCCATTCGGGCTTTCCAAGTTCTGCGATGGGATCTGAAGATCCGCCTCTCTGTAAGTGTCTGTGATTCCATTGGGTTTTCCCGTTAAACAACTCGATATTCAGTCATTCATTATGCAGTCTCAGTGAAACTGACCCTCGATTACCGTTCTCGAAGCGTATCTTCAAGCCTGTCTGAGCTCCCTTTTTACAGAAGCGGACAGGGCTTCCAACGGGCCGTACTACGGTCCGTACAAAGTGAACCGTAACGGTCACGTGTTCAGAACAAACGTACTGAGTTCGTGAGCCGTATTGTACGTTTAATAATGCCCTAGGTACAGTACGTAGTGCGGATTGTATTACCCTTTTAGGAAGTTTGTATAGGGGTTCTGGAGGGGTATAAGGGCTCTAGCGAGTAGGAGGCCTGCGGACGCTTAAATCTCTTTCTAAGGGTTTTAATCTATCTATCTGTCTGTTGTCTTAAAAATACCTATTACTAACTATTTTCTATTGCAGAGTTATCTATCTACGCCTCTTGCAGCCTTACAGGCCTTATCTAGTCCTATCTGCTCTTGTTACTAGGGAGAACTAGTTAATTAGACCTTAATCTTACATCTCTAGAGACCTATAGTCTTAGCTGTTTTAACTAGAGTACAGCGTACTTTAATTAAATTGTACTACTTGTACAGATCACGTGAGCCGTAACAGTTACAATACGTACACCTACCTCTCCTCCTCCCTGTTGTACGAACGTACACAAAATCTCACCCGTACAGGCCTCAAAATCGCCTAATCGTACAGTACTACGCCTCGTTGGAAGCCCTGGAAGCGGATGACTATGTCACATTTGGAACATGATCTGATAGATCCTTGACTCCATTTCTTAGTGACACGGTAATCCAAGCCACTTTCTGCTCCAATGTATAGATGCGGGTATAGTCTAGGAGTATGGGGGTACAATAGACTCAGGTCTTTCATCTGTTTATCTGCCCCGTCGCATACCTTTCCCATAAAAATTACGCCCACCCTTCACAAAAAGAGCTCACTCCCACGTCCACCCTCCATCTCGAAACATTCAGCGAAATCCCCATCTCAACCTCAATCCATTCACTTTGATCCCCTTCCACTGCTCCATCAGCCCATCCTCCCCCTTCAACTACCGTTCAGCCATCCATACCAAAGACTCATAGAGTAACTCCCTACTGGCCTCCTGGATTATCTCCTGGCGCAAACTGCGCGCATCGATAGCATCGACGGCCTCTATGCCGGTAGTCCTCGCCGTTGAATGGACCTGGCCATCCGCCTCCGGGACGGGGAAAGAGAAGTGGAGACTGTGGTGCGTTGATTGTTAGTATGGGTCTAGGTGTAGGGAAAAATGGATGTAGATGCGTGGGTGGGGGGAGGAGAATAGATATGACTTGCGGAAAGGGGCAAAGGGCAAGGATTGGGGTTTGAGAATGAGACGAGCGCAGAGGCAAGAGCAGTGGTAACGAAGTAGTGACGTAGAGGATGAGGAGAACTGATTCGAAAACCACTCACAAGTTTCACATTATTCATCTCCTTCGACATTTTCTTGCACATCCGCTTTGCATGTTCGTGTCCGTGCTCGCAGCGGTCGCTGAGCCAGATTGGGCGGTCGGTTGTGCGAGCTAGGATGAGAGTTGCAAAGAAGAGGGCGAGGATGATGAGGAGCTTCATTATGGGTTTGATAGCGAGGTTGGGAAGATAGCTGTTGTACGGGGTAGTGATGTGTCCATGCAGTTGATTTAGTTGATCGGTTGATGTGGAATGTGGTTTGTGGTGTGTAGTGAGTTGTGGAGGTAGTTATAGTCGCTGTGATTCTTGTTGAAGGAAATATCTCAGACAAGTGGAGTGATCCAAATTATTTATACTAAGAGCTGAAATAAAAAAAATTACCTAGTGGGAAGGCATCATGACGTTAAATCCGACGGAACCCGTGGTTAGAGAATCCCCGCTGTACTAAGGCTAAAAGATAACTATACGTATACCCAACGTAGCACACAGATTGTAATGCAAATGAACATCTATCGATCTGACTTCGATCATCTCTTCCAAGGCACGAATGCAATCAACCAGAGCAAAATCTTGTTCTCAAAGGTAGATGAGGTGTAAGGACAGTTGCCTTGTTTGGAGAGTGAAACTATTCCAATTGATGTTGGACCTGTTGGGGATGTCTACCCCTGGTTCACATTGATCACTCGTACGGAAATTTTGTCTATTATATGTGCGGAGGAAGTTTAGATACCTGCCTAAACATGGTAGTGCAGACTTAACTCAATTCAACTTGAAGATTATAATACGAAGACACAGAGTATAATGTACCTGGGATCCAGACTATTAGGATATCCAGGCAGCCACAGGATCCGAAACTCGTTTCCAGCCCGAGTGACTATCGAAGACCCAGAAAGAAGTCGATCCACCAAACTTTTCTACACTATGATACGACGCCCAGAAATGCACCAAAACGCTCACTCACTCGCTCGCTCGCTTCATTAACCATGCAATTGCAAGATGCACCCAAAACCCAAACCACAAACATCAGAACCCCGACCCACATGCTCAATCAGAATCCAAATGGAATGCATCTATCCTCACACAGCCTCCCAGCCTTGTTTCCGACTCTGCGCATCCCCCTGCACACTCGTATTCGCCGTTAAATCCCCCCTCTCATCCCCCAATCGCGCAGCCACAGAAACAGAATCAATCCTTATCTCTGCCTTCCCGATTCGATCTACATCTTCTTCGCTCCCATCATCCCTTCCTCCCGCTTTCCCAACCTCTTTTAAACTCAATGTCTTCACAAAACTGGGGCGACTACCCATTCCATCCCCTGAAAATAAGCCGAGTCGTCGTAGCAGGTTCTGCGCGGGCGATTTTAGACATGGCATGCATGCCGCGATAATACCGACGAGTTCTTCGAGCTTGGCCCACATGGAGGGTTTGACGGTGGCTTGCATAGGGTCGCCTTGGCCGAGGGAATTAAAGGTTGTCATTTTGGCGCCCGCAATGCCCGTGGCGAGGAGGCCGGTGGCCATGAGGCAGCCGATGAGGATTTTTTCAGAAAGCGGGCGGTTGAGAGAGCGGACGAGTTTTATCGGCATGAGGGCGAGGATAAGGTCCATGGTTGTGTAGAAGGCTACAAGGTATTAGAAGCTAGAATGAGAGTATGGGTGCATATGAGAGTGTGGAAAAGGGTGGAGAGTGAGGTATGTGAAATTGTTCATGCATGCGTACCGGAAGAAAACCAGCCATAATCGATGATAGCTTTAACAGGCCAACATTTCGCATCGGGGACGATATCCCAAAACGAGCGCAACGGACGACATTGGAAGAATTGGACGATGAGCCAACCAAAGGATGTGAGCAACTGGAAAGTGATCAATGTATACAATGGAACCCTCCATTTCCACTCCATCCCGAATCGTAGGAGTGAACATGCCACTGATATCCGGACCATGGCAATGGTGATGACCCAAATGGTCTGATTTGCAAATTGCAGTTTCATTATCTGCGTGTATTGGGAGGGTGTGAGGGCGAGGTATGGATGACCCCATCCATAGGAGGTGGATGCTCCGACGATGAACATGTTGGAGAATGAGAGGACCTGGTAATTGTTAGCCACTAAGTTGGGTTTCTGGGATCCCATGAGGAGAGGATTGAACACACCTCTGCGATGACGATGAGATAGTCATCCAGACCCATATGATTTGTTCGAGATAGACGCGTCCATATCCTCGCCGTGCAAAGACTTAACGCAAGAGCCGCCAGAATCGAGCAAGGTATCAGGTACACGGGCGCGACATTCGAGTCCAGGACCGGGGTGCCGGGAGTAGCCATAGTCACACGGCAGTCTGCGGGAGCGAAAGACGGAAGAAAGGGAAGTTGAGTCGCTGGACACAAACCCGGCGGGAGCTTGCGACTGTCCTTGTCCCCTTGATATATGGTCTCGTCGGGCCGCGATTCACAGGCGCGTTGAACCGCACCTGAGACTCAATTTTTAGCTTCGCGAGGAACCGGTTCAAGCTCCCCCGAGCAGCTTTCCCCCTTTCTGGACACTCGAGATGGATTGCCGTTACGCCATTCGCGGGCAGGCCAGCACAAGAGCAATGCGCGAGACCGAGCATCTAAACATCCGGGGATGGTGGCGTGCGCTCCAGGGTCGTGACAGCTAGCGGAGGGTGTTCTCCCGTCTTCAGCGAAAATGTCCTTTCCTAGCGCTCGTCTAGCTCCCATGTTCCTGACTCAAGGGGTATCAACGCCAGTCAATCATCAGAAAATACGGAGATCCAATTGCGACTGCTCCCCGAAGCGTTCTCGCTGGGCTTCAGGTGCAGCATCAACCAAGGTATAATATGACTCGATATCAACAACAGGTCATACGATGGCATTCAAGTAATATTAGGCAGGGAATACCCGTGGATCACGATGCGCACAATCGAGCCAGGACCACGCGGTCCGCGACTTTCGAGTGCGGTTGTGGATGCGGTTTGACCTGGAAGTGGCTTGGGCACGCCGACGCACAAGCACGCCCAAGCTCGGCAAAGGAAACGTCAGGGTCAAAAGCAGCCTGCTCCCCACATGCCCGGTTCCGGGGCGCCGCCACGAACTAAAAAGGCTGAAGGCGAACGAGCTGGGGCGTGAGGCGATTGGTCAGCTGTCTTTTGCCGCGAGTGTTACAAAACCTTATTTTCAGGTCTGGTGTGTCATGTTGGCCAGTAAGTTACGAATCCCAGTTTCGGACCAAAGTCATGAAGGTTTATCCTGGCGAAGCCACTGGTTTGAGAAGTTATCCAGTTCTTTTAACAGCTACAAATCCGACAGGATTCAGAGATTTGAGCATGTGGAAGCTGAATAGCCATCTTGGCAGGATATGTAGTAAGTGGAAGAGTCAGGCCGAGGTGTTGCCACTGAGTTCGCCGTGGTAAATAGAGTTTCAACACCTCCACTTCAGAATTGCAATGTTTCTGAACCCTCGCTCTCGCATTTCGCTTGATAGACTATGCAGTAGCGCAAAGGTTGAACCCCCCATTGACGCATCCAACACCTCGACCTCAACGCAATAGAGATATTCCTTGTCCTCAAAGATGGCGTGTTCGTGTCAGGAGAGCCGTAGATTCGCTGCGCTCTCTTCTTACATGATTCTTCTCAATTACAGCTACCCCGGCATCGCCCTCTCGACAGACGATGACCCCCTTGCCCTCGACCCCTTTCTCGCCAGCCCGGTTCGGTGAAGGTTCAATGAGGAAAGCCTCCAGTCTCCATAACGACCTATTTGCCTGGGTCTACTCAAGCGTTCTCCCCTAGGTAGAGTTCCACACGTCGTCAACGCCGAACGTCAGACTCAGGTACAGCTAGAGCTCTAGACTCTCTGGTAGCTAGGGATACGACCACCTGCTGGAGACGGAAGTGTCATCAAAGACAACTCATCCAACAGATTGGATAAGCAATGAACAGAGTCGCAGCGGATCCAAAAAAATACCCGAGGAAGCGCATAATGAGCGAGTGTGATAGATCTATTCTGCTAAATCCAATTAAGGTCTTTATCCAAGAAAGAAGCAATCCAAGAAGCATCAAACCCGGAATGTAGCAATGGGGACAAGACAGAATAGAAAGATACACCTCAGCCTCGAACGCTGGTTGAGTAACGAGCTGATCGATGTGTCGATTGCAAATACCGAACGGCCCTGGTAGCGTTGGTGCCAATCTACATTACCCTCCAGGGCGACTCCTTCGCAAAAGAACAGAGCATTAGTGGGAACTGGGAACTTCCTCAAGCCTATCGAATCTGGGCGTTAACTGGCTTTAGAATGGTGCTGGACCCTTCCACTCTTTCCATCATGCTCTCTCATGTCGATTTGTCCTCTAAGAATCTTAATCATTTCGAATGGCCATCGCATTCGTGCGATCCTGAGCTAGGTCTCCCGCTCGGCAAACAAGCATGCTTGTACCTGTGCTTCTGCTAGTTCCGAATACCTAGTGGTCGCGGGGAGAGTGACAAGAAATCTCGGTTGAAGCAAATGACAGAAAAATATCATCAAGATACCGCTCGCGATGGGGCTTACATTAAGTCAAAGAGCACGGGCGAAAAGGCGCTGTTGTATCTCGCCTTTAACCCCCTGGGATCACGATATCTCTTTGGGCGGTGATATATGGTCCAGGTATATAGGAGCACGGTGCTTTTGGGATAAACTGATTTCCTCTAGATCGCTGGGTTTGTTGGAATGAGCACAGAAAAACTACTGCATAATCGACGCTGTCTGTATGGTTCTTATTGCAATAAGATCTGAATGCTGATTTGTTGAGTAGCGCCTTTTTAACACCACCAACCATGAACGTACTGGCTAAGGGGGCCATGTCCTTGCGAGGCAGTCATTCACCGGCATCCTACTTGAAGCCGATCCTCGATATTTTTGATAAAGCCGCCATAAGTCACGGAAAGATGTCGATGAAAGCGCCTCACTCGAGCTCTTCATAATGGCGACAGCTTCTGAAGGATCCCGATGAAATCAACCAGGTTCGATACAGGACCTGTGAGGTCCATAAACTCTCAACTAAATTTTAGAGCTGGCTTGACCAAGGAGTGATCTAAGCTATCGATACAAAAGCCGAAGGTGATGGTGAGCGTGTTATTCAAGGAGCATTGTCTTGCTTAGGTTTGTGGATTATGTGGACTCTACTGCTTTTGCAGTCATCGTACCATGCTTTCATCATACCGGTGGCCACGCAGTCGAGTATCTTGGTGTATCCCCTGACGGCCTTATGACTTCACCACATGGTGGCAATGCGACGATGTTTTCTCCTGCGCACGGCAAATATCAGTCCATAATCCCTCAGGATATGATCATACAGGAAAACTTCTCGCTAAAGATCACGGTAAAATCTCGACATGGTGTCTCTTCCCGCAAATGCTGTCCGCCTTTTGATTAACATGCGCTTTCGGCCTGAGAAGATTGTGAATGGCAGACCGCAAGATGTCTTTCTATTCCTGGATCTGAATTATGACATTGAGCTGGCGTCCAGCTAGAGCTTGCCACATGAGGCTAACGGCTACTCACCTGAGTTAGAGCTGAAGCAATATGCCATGGCGTGGAAAGGCTCGGCGATGAATATCACCCACACAATGTGAACAAGTCCCAACTTTCCATGGAAGTTTTAGTTAAGTCCTCTTGGACGTAACTTGAGCAATCAATCAGAAGTACCAAGAGTGGGGTCTTAACCGCAAACTCGTCATCCAGGACGAAGAGAAGAACGACCGGATGCACCAATGCAAATAAAAAAACACACTGAGACTTGTCGTACACGAATACGATCTTACTACCCCTTCTTAGGACTTGTGTGAGAAACACGGATCATGAAAATGATATACCAAAAATGTCTGGGCTCCAAGCGAGAAGGCGGCCACCGAAATGAATCTAGCGACATCGGAAAGCTTTTGATGAGATGCGAGCTGCGCACACAGTCGGATGAAAGAAGCAAAGACGCCAAATGCAGCGAAGATATAGTTAGATTAGGCCTTGTTTAGGTAAGCAGCGAGCTTCAAAATATGGTTACACTCGAGCTTAATTTGAGTGGAATCCTCCGAAACTCTCCGTCGACCCTTTTTAAGTTTTGCTTGTTCGGCTCGGGTTGTAAGAGGGTAACAATTACAGATGCTAGCAGGGAATGATATTTCCGGAGATCCGTCATGGGAGTTTGATGCTCATAGACCCAGACCATTGGGATGCTTGGCGTTTACATCCCAGACCCCCGGCTTATCGATATTATATAGAGTTCCACATGTGCATCTTTCAAGAGCGGCATGCGTAGGACTCTCCCAAACAATCCGAAAGAATGCCCTGCAACCGGAAACTGCTGTAGCTCTATCTCATTATTTCTGCCCTTATCTCTCCCGACTGGAAACGAACCCAAGGAGGTGTAACCTTTTCCAACATATGCCTAGATTCGAGATTTTTTGGCCCAAGTGGCTGCAAATTTCCGTCTTGTGGTGTTGTCTATTTGCTGCGCTGCCCAATACACTTACCTAAATTCTGCGATCCAGAACCTCTTGCTCCATTTAAGGAAACCTCCCGCCGCATTCACGTTACACTTGAGTGCTAGAGACAGGGAATAGGCAGGGCACGTGACGAATACATAACACATAAGCACATGAGCACCTTCTGAGGTTTGCTAGTAACACCGATTACAATCATAGCCCGGAAGTTAGGCTAAAGACCAGTGAAGCCCTAGAAGGAATATACACACTCTTTGGACCAACCCGTGCCACTAACACTATCGACACGTTCGTTCATGGCGACTTATATGAATTCCGAGGATTCCTTTGACTAAAAGACTAGACTGGCTTAATAGACCCGGAAGGTTCATCTCTTCTCTACTGACCCACTATCATCAAATCCGAAATCTGGGAGGACTTCGAGTGCTGCCAAATGGGGGTCAAATCCACTGTGGCCCCACCGCTACGAAGGATCTGAGCTTCGCCCCAATCCTACAGGAGTCGACATTCGCGAGGCTCCGACGGACAGCAAGGAATCATTTTCCCTTGCCAGCCAAATTTGGAGACCATTGGCAGACTGTTTCCCTCAACTGCCGCGTAAATGGCAGAGTCCATCTGAATTAGTTGCGAGGCATAATTCATGTTGCATGATGCGCCGCTCAGTTATCTACATTGTGTAGGCCTCAGTGGTTCCGAGATTCTACAATCGTTACTACCTAAATTATAAGGATGTTTTCCTGTTCGCTCCCGTCGGTGCATCTCGAAGTTCATCTCCGCATCGCGAAGTCCGTGCCAAGGAGCGCCACAAGCTCAGAGAACCTATCGAAACGGATCATGGCCCCTCACAGCCCTACCGTCTGGACAGAGCAGACTTGTTTCAAGCCCGGCTATCAGCAAAGAGGTCGCTTCTCTACCTGTCACAGGATAGTCAATCAGAGGTACTTTTTTCGTGGAGCCGAGAGTGTGGCGAAGTATCGCGCAATTCATTTCGAAAGTCCGCGGGATAGAAGACCAAGTTTCATGTGCTTCAAGGCACAGAAGATGGGAATCTGAAGGCTGCTGATACGTAGCCCTCCTACATATTCCTCGTACATCCTTCAAGTTCGTTTAAAGGAGCATTTCAGCGAATAAATTAATGTAATGTCCCGCCGCGCGACCACTAACCACTCTGTCTAAGACATCTCATTTTGCTTGCCTCGCTCCTGTATTCGAAATGCCATGGCTCTTAGCACATTTGATCCAAAAACACAATGGAAGATTGACCACGCAGGGGCAATAGACAAATCCACTTTTCAGGTATCATCTTCCCAGGAATTTTGTCTACATGGATGGCTAACGAAATCCTTCTCACAGATCTTGCTTTTCATTCTCTTGGCTATCGCATGTGTCTTCTCTCTCTCGCGCCTCGGATTCCGCCTTCATCATGAACGCAGACTTTTCCTCGACGATTATCTCATTCTATTCGCAACCATCTGCCTCATCATCGAAACAGTATGCATTCACCACTTCAGCGATCGAATCTATTTCGTCGAATCTGCTTCCACAAATTGGGAAGTCATGCTTCTATTGGCTCCTGGAATTGGTAACACAGCTTTCCAACAAGACTTCAGCACCTGGGGACCAGCCTGGATAAATGGCTATCTGAGCGTTGGATGGATTGCGATTTTCATGGTTAAGTTTTCTTTCTTGGTATTGTTTTGGCGAATGGTGAGGAATGTGACAAAAAGGCTTACAATCTGGTATTGGGTTACCGTCGCCGTGACGGCGGCCTCTGGGATTGTGGTTGTGTTGGAGGCATTCATTTTGTGTCCGCATGTTGGCAAAGCTGCTGGTACGTTTGAGCTGGAGCTTTCCTTTTCCGTACCCTTTTCCCCTTGGAGAGATCGCAAGTCTGACAGCTTCTGTTTTGCACAGCAAAATGCTACCCACAAAAGAACTATAGCTTCAGCCTTGGAATCGGCATCATGGTCCAATGTCTCGACATTATCACAGACCTCATGAGTAAGCACTTCTACCTTGCCCTCACTTTACCGCAATTACTGACCCCAATCTAGTCATCAGCATTCCCCTCATCCTTCTGCGTATGTCCCAACTCCGCATCAGCCACAAAGTCCGGATCGCGCTCGTCCTCTGCCTCTCCGGGATCCAAATCATCCTCAGCACCACTAGAATCGCCGGTGGCATTCATCGCAACATCACTGGGCAGCTCGAATTCAGCATCGTCTGGATTACATTTCTTCTGCACGCTGAAGCATCAGTTGCAGTAATGACCGGCAGCATCCCAGCCCTGCACGCTATGTACAGCGTCCAACAACGGCGCCGCACCATCCCAGCCCCAGACGACCATGGCGGCGCGCAGCGAGATCTCGACAGCAGCGTTCGCTTCCACACACGTGTGATAGGTACACTCCACGTCCAGCGTAAATCCTCATTCAAGCTCCCGCCAGACCCGTGCACCGCGCCCGAAAACCTCGTCAGACATTCTATCTTCGCACTACGTTCTTTCAACTTCAAATCCCGCGACCGGGACCGCAGTTCCTCCACATCTTCGCCTATTCCGCGTTCAGGGATCCGCAGGACGGAGAGCTCAAATAGTTCAATCATTGCGCCGTCAGAGGCTTATCATAATTTTCGGAAGGAGGAGAGGAATCAGATTAGGGTTACTTATGAGTGTACGGTTTTGAGTGAGGAGGCGAGTGTGGATGGGGATGCAGATGGAGAAGGGGGAAGCGAGATTGGGATTATGCCGCAGACGTGGGGTGATGGGGTGTTGACTGGGCTGGGGAAGGTTAAGGGGGATGGGGAGGTTTGAAAGGACGGGAGTAAGGGGATTTTTCGATGGCTGGTTGGAGTGTTAGGTTGGGTTAGGTTGGATTGAGAATGAGGTTATTTACGGCCGGCTTTATGACGGTATGGTATGGTGGTTTTAGTTACATAGACGTCTTTCTATAATGTATTGTATAAGTACTGGTCGCGCGTCCGAGACAGCGCATCTATACGAACCCGGACTTCCGCACGTCGGATACCCAAAGCTGTGCCTAGAACCCCGTCACAAATAACTCGGACTCGGATTTCGCGTGCCATCCGCCTCTTCTTCGGCTCCGAACTTTGCTCTGCACTTTTTTGCTCCGAGACTGACTATTCTATCCTCTCGGCGTCCCGCTCAAGCCCTTGCCCCCGTCCAATCCGCCATCTCAACCCGACACGGATAGCCATCGGCAGGATGTGTCCCCGCCTTTTCAGTCTGATATGCACGCTCTCCATTTACCGTCTTCAGCGGCTCCTTCAACACACCTACACTCTTTAATCCCCTCTTCACCCAACTTTCCTCCGCTGCATTCCTCGCATCAAATTCATCGTAGACAGGCCGGATATCAAAAAGCCTTGCCGTAAGCACTAAGACAATCCGCATCTCATTGTACACAAGCGTTTGTCCGATGCAATTCCTCGGTCCTTGTTCGAAGGGCCGATAGGCTGCAGGATTGGGATAGAGCGGGTGGTCGGGTGAGACGAGAAACCGCTCTGGGAGGAATTCCGTTGCGCGAGGCCAAATGCGAGGGTTTAGGTGCACGGCTTGGTGCACGATTGTCGCACCGACGTGGTCCATGGGGTACGAGTTGTTGAGCTGGTCGGTAACGACGATGCCAGGCTGCCCGGAACGCATTGTCGCGGCTGGAGAGAAGAGGCGGAGGGTTTCTTTTATTACGGCGAGGGTGTAGGGACATTGGTTTAAGAGCGCGGGGTTTTGTTTGAGGAGAGCGGAGGCAGCGGATGGGTTGGATCCAAAGATGGCGTCGTGTTCAGTGCGGAGAGTGGCGAGGGCGGAGGGGTGCTTCGAAAGCATGTGGTAGGTGTATACGATGCTGGAGGAAGTGGTGTCGTTGCCTGCAAAGAGAAAGAGGCGGATTTGGTATGTGGCGTATTGTGCGAAATGGGAGTCGAGTTTAGTCATTGTGGAGATGTCGCGGTCTTGGTTTGAGGCGATGTAGGCTTCGAGCGCGAGGGTGATGACGGATTTTCCACGACCTGTTGGGGTTGATTTCTCCGTGGTCATTTTTTCTTCTCGGAGCTCGGTGAAGCGTTGATCGAGTTCTTTACGGATGTATGTGTTCATCACGTGGCTATTGTATTTTTGGATGAATGGGCGAGCGGGATGCATGAGGATGCGTGGGTCCCAGAAAGAGTGCCATCGCGTTATGTAGCCGAGGGCTGTTGCGAGTGGATTTTCTTTGCGCTGGTAGTCGAGATCTGCATCTCTGTGCGTCTGTGTCAGTTCTTTTTTTCTCTTAGCACAATTAGAGAACTTACAGAGTGACTTTAATAATAATATCCATCGTCAACCTAGTGGTTAAATCATCCAAGCAAAACATTTCCTTCCCCTCTACCTTCTCCCTCAACCTCTCACAAAACACGTTTACATAATCAACAATATGCGGTACATTCTCCATCATACTCCCTGCGCTAAACCCAGGATTAAACAAGCTCCTCCACACCTTCCACTCTTTGCCACTCATGCTAATCAGATTCGGGCCTCCAGCCACCGGCTTCATCATCTTCAAATGCATACTCGTCTTGGGGAGATTATACTTCGTCGAGATCTGCACAGCGGTGTCGGGAGAATACACCATTAGCAGCGGGGGATACACGGGCCAGAAATCCATGAGGAAGACCTCGGTGTCGGCGTATTCCTTGCAAAGATCCGCCATGGCGAGATTCACGTTAGCGTCGGGTGGGATTTTGTCGACGTATTTTTGAAGCACCAGTAGGTGGCCTGTTAGCCAGGACCATTCTTTTGGCATCGGCTGATGGACCAGTTAGATGATAGACAATATGGGAAATTGGTGGAATCAGACAATGCCTTGTTTCCGTAACTGATTGATCTTTGAGCGGTGTTGGTAGACGGTGTTGGCGAGGTAGGCGAGACCTGATAGCAGGCCGATGCCGATGCTTGAAAGGATGGTTGTCCAAGCCATTTTCATGGTTGTGATGGTAGCAATTGAACAGGATATGGCAAGAAATTGTTGCGGTTAAAGGAAATTGAAGCTTAAAAGGAAGGAAATGAAGGGAAGATGGGAAGATGACATAGAAGCATTGAAATCTGTGGACCCCAAACCGCAAGCGTCCGTGCCCCAATCCCTGTAGGCTGTAGCCCGCGAGCACGGGCCACATATTATCACGTGATATAATTGTTCATATAGGAATTATCCTTCATGGGGCGTCAGGGATCGCTAGTCTCTGAGAAAGCTTATCATTTTTATGCAATGTCTCTGTCTTGGCGCCGATGGCGCAGAACAAATTATCGAAGCGAATTTCGCTGCGGAGGCGGAGTGTTTCCTCCTGCAGTAGTGCTATGCACATCGGTCACCGAGACCTCCACAAATAATTATGTGCCTGTCCTGCCTCAACACTTCGAAAATATGTCCTCCCAAAAATCTGGAACGTCAATTCGCGCACTATTTCATAGTTTAAAAAGGAACGAACTGAAGCTCATCCAGTCGAGACATCCAGGGCCTCCTCCAGAACCGTTTCTAGAGTTATGTCACAACCCTATTCTCACATCCTAAAATGCTCAATGTGTCCTCCCCTCAGTCTCTCCGGTGCCAATTGAGCGATGCTGCAGCACCACCCGATGTCCCGCCGGCAATGCCAAACGAAGAAGAAAGCCCGCAACTCCTCCAATATGTTGCGGCTCTTCGCTATGTGCGCTGCGTGCCGCTGCTATGCTGGATGTGTGGCCCATAGTTTTGAAACATGTTCCCTCTAAAAAAGTTCAGCGATATGGAAATGTGTATAGAGAAGAACGACTTACCAGAAAACGCTTCTCGTGATGTTGGCCCGGATACTGATGTCGACTTCTTGATGTGTGCGTGGTAGTCGGTTTCGATAAGGTCAAGGTCAGAGTCTTGAGAGAGTGCGGAGGAGGATTTAGTCGTTGCTTTCGCTTTGTCGGCACCGAACATAGTGCGCAAGCCGGTGAGAGTTGCCCCAGGGATCTTAATCCCAAGTCGGCGCTTCCATTCGACGCCTTTCTCATTCTCTCCGGAATCTGGGGTGTGAGCATGGTGAGACGGACCTCGCCCGAAAATCCTGGCGAAGTATGAATGCAGTTTGTCGGAAACCTCGTTGGAGCCAACAAGGGTAGAGCGATAAACGGTGATGGACCCCATGATGACACCAATACAAGCCTCGGCATGAAGCCAGAAGACTTGCCACGGATAGTCGAGAGCATTCCCGTAGTACAAACCGGATGCTCGAATGATGGAACAGGCGATCATGAAGACGGAAAGGCAGAGGAAGACGCCCAAGCCGATCTTGGTGATTAGGCGCATTTGCGATTGGCGGAGGATGAGGATTGGGATGCTCACGACTATAATCGGTTAGGTGTTGAAGGGACATAAATAAGGAGGTGGGCTTACTCATGATATCACAAAGCGCATCGAGCACGGGACAGATCCAGAAAAGTACCAAGAGCGCCGACTTCGAAGCGGGTAGAACGGGGAAGCATTTTGCTGGCAGGAAGTTAGCAATCACGAATGCCTCCGCACATGTGACTTGTTATTACTTACCAGCCGCTTTTCCTACGTGCGGGCAAGTGATGAGTTGCTCTCCGATGACTAAAAACAGCCACGAAACGACGGAGAAAGCGATGGCAAGCCAGTAGTAGTAGACGATGCTTCTCGCCATGGCCCGAAGCAAGGGATAGAAGAAGGCGAAGTAGCACCACTTGACCGCAAATATGGCGGTCCAGAGGAAGGGTAGATAGGCAAGCTGCCACTTTGACTGTTGGAACAACTCATCCATCTGCTCAAAGGCGAGGAGGGATGCAACTGGGTCTTGTCGCAGAACCGAGAATTCGAGGTAAATCATGTGGATACGTTTGTAGAGAATCGCGGTCCCTCCCACTAAGGAGGTGAGTGCGAAGATAAGAAAGGCATCGTCGAGATAAAGACGCCGCCGTGAGAAGAGTCGGATAAAGATGCGGCCTGTGCAAGTCAAGGCGGCAAGTCCGAAGAGAACACCAATTGCTATCTAAGCCCATTCATGAGGACTGAGGGCCGATAGTTGAGCATATTGAGATCACTGACCTTAAAATCGTGGGCCGTTATGCGTCCAGTGTTTTCAATGCTCCATTCTGTCTCAGCGATTTGCTCTGGTGTGAGTGCCATTGCCATTGCAGTAACATTCACTCCAGCCATGCCGCTCATGTCGGTAGGCGCCATTCTGCCTTCGCCTGTCTAGTAGATCGGGCTGGGGAAATGCCGCAAAGAAGGGGACAAATCGCAGTCTGTAGGGAGCAGATGCAACAGAGCAGAAATCGAAAGACAAGAGCATTCACTTGATTCTAGAGCCACACTCTTAAGTGTAGTACGAGAGATGATATAACACGTACGGCCCAGCCATCCCCAGAGCGAAGCGTGTTAATTCACGTGAATACCAAGATCTGACATGCTTGCTTTTGCAGAGCAAATGGAAGGCCACCAAAGCTAGTGTGGCCATCGGGGTTTAACTGTCGAACCATGTTGAAGATCCAGTCGGCGAGCAGTGTGGGGGCGAGGGGGAATTGGCTCTCAGCAATAGGTTTAGTGAAGACGAGCAGATTAGCCTTCCTTTCCAGGAAGAAGGGGGCTAGTCCTAATTAGGAATGATTACGTAACAGCTCGCTTACGCGCACAGCCGCCACAATAAACAATCTAACCAACCCAGCTTCACATCTCCTCCTGCCACGCCCACCAACCCACCTAACCAGGGCAGTGCGACCTTACTAGCTAATCCTAAACTACTAAGAACACTACAGGTACACATCTTACCCTATCTGCATGTTTTAGGTTAAAATCTAATTAAAACAGCTTCTAACACTCTCTACTTACTTTTAATGTAGTAAATTACATTTAATAATGCTATAATAACACTAAATAATAACTAGTTATAACTTAATAATAAGCCTTTATTACTAAAAATTAATACTAAAGTTATTATTAATTTTTAAAGTAAAGGCCTAACTAGAAGCTAGAACCTCTTAGCTAAAAAAGCTAGTGCTAATAGTAATAGTAAGTTTTACCTTACACATGTTATAATTTAGAGCTAATTAGAAAAAATAAAAGCGCTAGATAATAATAAACTTACTTTATTAAATAATATATTATTAAAACTTACTTTTTTACTTTCTATACTTAATATGTCTTAACTAGAAGACATATAGTCTTACCTAAGTCTAATAGCATTACAGGCAGGACTAAACTAGACAGTGCCTGCCCACGCCTTTAGCTAGACTAGACTAGACAGCTTATAGGGCAGCTAAGATTAGAGCTAGTAATAGTATAATAAAAGTGTAAGTAAATCTAAATTAATCTAAATTAATATAACTTAAAAAAAAATTAGACTAATAATATTTTTTTATAGCTTACTTTTACTTATATTTAATCTATATCTAGCTATAAAGAACATTAGTAGTAATTTGCCTATTAGCTAAGTTATAGACTATATCTGCTACTATAAGGTCTATATCTGCAGGCCTAGAGTTAATATCTGTAGGCTTAGAGTCTGTACTAGAACACCTAGTAGCCTTAACATAAAGCACCTCTGTTTGCTCTAGGCAGACTGTACCCTTTCTAGTAGCAGTTTATGCCACTATATTCCTAGTATAGACATTACAGATATAGCATAGGTTAGGCCTTACCTGCTCTAACTCTAATTATTTTACTTTATTAGATAGATCTAGCTAAAGCTAGGTTAAAGCTAACTAAAAGTAAAAAAAAAAAAAAGATTATACTTTAGCTTAAACTTTTAAGTAGTAAATCTAAGTAGTTTAACTTTTCTATAGAAAACACTAATTTATATAAAATTATTAATTTAAAGCTGCTATATAAAAGGGTCTAGACTACTATAAAAATAATAAGACTTTTTAGGCGCCTAATAAACTTTAAGTTTATAAAAGATTTAAACATAAAAGTTATAATAGCTTATTTAAAGTTAGTTAAGATGTAAATAAATTAAATTATTATAGTATATATATAAGTTAATTCTTTTTAGAATAGCTTTAACTTAGTTTTAATTAAAGTTACACACCTTAAAGTAGCTAAGGCACTAGTAGCCTTTATAGTAGGTTAGATCTTATAAGATTCTTACTAAAAATGCTTAAAAAAAATAGTAAGTTTATTTACTATGTATATATCTTTAACTATTTTAGCTATAGTTATGCAAATTATTACTATAGTGTAAAAAGTAAAAGTTATAATTTTTAAAGTAAGTTATTTTTTTTTTAAATAAAATATACCTAGATACTAACATATATTAGTAGATTAAACTAAATTTATTAAATAAAATAAAGTTTATTAGCTAAAAAAGAAAAAGGTAATGCTTAAAGATATTACTACCTCTCTAAAGAGCATCCCTACTCTGTAGAAGGGTCTAGCTGTGCTAACATCTACCCTAACACTAAAAAGGCCTAGATTAGCTTTAACTAAGGTAGATCTAAGCTCTTAAAAAGCTACTTTAGTTCTAATTTATAACAAACCTACTGTTCCTTATAATCTAGTTATAGCCTTTATAATTAACTTATTTAGTTACTAAGTTCTAAAGACTAGGGCCTAGCTTATATAGCAAAATATGTACATAGCCTTACTAATTATAATTAAGTTATTTTAAGAAGTAATCTTTATAAATAATAAATTACTATAGTTTTAGTTTAGTTAAGTCTAAAACTAAATTAAAAATATAATAAAACTTATAATAAATAAGTGCATAGAACTTAGTAAAGTAATATAGTCCCTATTATTTTAGTTTAACATAGTAGTAGACATTAGCATAGCTTTTAATGCTAAAAAAAGCCTAGCTAATAGTAATAAAAAAGAGGTAAAAAGGCCTATAAATAACACTAACATAGCTAAAAGTTAATCTAAAGAAGATAAGGACCTAGAAAATACTAATAATAAAAAGTTTATAGCTGCTAATAATATAAAAGTTTCTACTAACACTTTTTTAAGTTTTAACCTTTTATTTATTAAAAAAGTTAAGACCTAATTAGCTATAAAATAATCTTATAATAAACACTTAATCTAGTTAAAGTTAAGTAATATTAAAAAAAAAAAAGTTAAGACTATAGCAAATAATTTAGGCTACACTAATATAACTATCCCTATAAAAGGCACACTAAAAAAAAAAAAATTTTTTAAAAAGTGTAAGCATAAGTTTAATAATTATTAGTATCTTTTTTAAACTAATTAAAGTAGACTCTAAAAGCATTAGGTAGAGTTAGTAGAGTTACTTTTAGTTTACTAGGTTTAGATAGTTAGTTTATTTTCTAGATAGATGTAAGTTAGTGTGGCAGCAGTTTACTTTAGCACTACACCTACTAACGCTTTTTTTGCTAGAGTTAATAGATTAACTTTATAATAATATACCTACTATATAAAAAACAGCGTTTATAATCTTATAATAAGTAGCTAATATAATTAAATTATAGGCTACACATAACTATTCTTATAATAGATATAAAGTAAATTAGTAGCTATACATTATTAAAACTTTTAAAAAAATAATGCTAAAGCTTAAGACCTTAAACACCTATAAACTTTTTTAACTTTTTAAAGTAAGTAGTATCTTTATTAATCTAATTAGTAAAATGTTTTTTCTACTTTTAATATTAATTATTTACCTTTCTTTTTTAACTAGACTAGTGCTAATAAGCCTAATCTATGCGCCTAATTGCCTAATAACAGATCTACACTAATTAGAGATCCTGTAACATGCTACTATTATAGTAGCTTATAAAAAAAAAAAAAGTAAGACTAGATATTAACTTTATTAAAAGTAAAAAAGTATTTTTATACTTTAGCTTATAATTTTCTAGTAATAACTAAAAATATTATGCTAATAAATAACATATAAAGCATTTAAAATTATAATAAATTTAGAGTATAATTAAAAAAAATTAAAAACTAGTTAAGATAACATACTTAATAAGCATTAAGCTAAACTTAATAAAAAGAGTTCTTTAATGTGTACTATTCTTCTAACCTTACACGCCTATACCTTAGCTAAAAAGTATGCTAGAAATAAAAGTTAAGCTTAAAATATAAGTCTTCTAGTTTAACTACTTTAGTATTATAAAACATAAGCTTTAAAAGCTTTATGTTATAGTTCTATATATAAGGTAGATAGAATTAGGTAGCATCTAGTAGATTACCTACTACCTAACTATAAACTAGTCTATTCTAGAGCAGCCACTCCTAGACAACAGTAGAGGGGAACCACATCTAGGACTAAAGCCGCCCTAGATAGGGCAGGTAGAGGCTGTAGTAATAGCCTTACTAATGCTAATTTATTACACTTTTATTATTAATAAAAGGCTAGTCTAGGTTATAGTTAAAGTTAAAAAAAAAATATTATACTTAAGCAAAATAGTAAAAAAATAATAAAGGTTCTAGTCTTATAAGAAAATTAGCTTATATAATAAAGTAGCATAAAAGTAGCTTATGTTAAAGTAGGTGTAGCTAATACTTCTTTTCTTTTATCTAGTTAGACTATAATTAATACAGGTAAAGTAAGTAGTTATAATATAATACTAATTAAGCATTTTTTAAATAAATGTTTGCTACTTAATACTTAGCATAATAGCTATAGGCCTAATAAGCTCTTTATGTACAAAAGGGTTAAAAGGCAAAATAGCCCTAGTAGATGTGTACATAAAAAGTAACATAGTAAGTAGATAAAAGGCAAAATAATAAAAAGTATAATATAGTAGGTAAAAAGTAAAAAGAAAGTATTATAGCAGATTAAAAGAAATTAAACTTAATTTAAAAAGGCTAAGGCTAGATCTATTATTACATAAAGCTAAAACTAGATTTCTAGAGGCACTGCCTAAAATAGAATAGCGCAGGACTAATATAATTATAATAAAAGCAGACGTTACTAATAAAGCAAATATAGTAGTAGGGCAGAAATGTACATGCACTGTACAAAGCAGTCTATAAAATAACCTTAGGATATATAATATTAACTACCTTACCTATTAAACTAGGCAGAATTAGAATAGAGATGCTAGATACAGTAGTAACACATAAAAGGGCTATATATAACTAGCTATAAGTAAAGACAGGATGTTATAAGTTAACACTAATAATCTTAAGCAACTAACTTTATAACTTGTTAATAGACATAGTAAAATAAAGTTAAACTAAAATTTAATACTAAATAATTAAAAAAAGTAAAGCATTATTATTCTTAGACACTAACTTTATATGTGTAATTATTTAGATCTAACTATTAAACTTACTGCTAAGTATTCTACTAATAAAAAAAGGCGCTATCTAGCTAATAGCAGTAACTACAAGACATGTGCTATTACATAATCC